ATATACCTTTTATTGTAACATTTATCGTTTTGCATTGAAGTCCATGTCTCATATGACTCATGTGAGTTCCATGAAGCTGCATGTGTTTCTCCCATGGCCCAAGGTCTGCCATCCAGTAGACAAATGCTAACAGGGAAGGTGAGGAGGAATTAATCTGAAGTTGAACCTTTGGATACTGCTGCTGGTAGAAAACTCTCAAACTTTAAGCTAGCTCATTCTATTTTCAGTGGTGTTAATAATTGGAGAATTAGTTCTTTTATCATTGAGTTCTAATTTTTATATTCTTTCTGCTGTACATGGTTAGATTCCTACAGTTCTCTGTAACACATCAAAGCCCTTTCCTCATGTTTTGGATGGATTTTGATGCCCTGCAGTGAATAGTAGCCTAACCCACTGTGGTATATACCTGCGTCTGTTTTTAAGTTTCTGAAAGCCTTCAGATGTGAAAGTCTTAATTAAGATTCCAAACTTAGAGTTCACCCTAGCTGAGTAGGTGTTCTGTAAGCCTCACAAAGAATGGTGAACTTGACACTCTTGAAAATCAACTTACTTTTCTAAAAAACTGTTTAAGATTGTGGTTTTAGCTGGGAAGGAGAGAAATAATATAACTTTTAATTTGTTCGAGAGAAAAGTATAACTTTTAATTTGTTCGAGAGAAAAGGACTCCCGTTCACTTGTGCACTCCCCAAATGCCCACAGTGACGAATACTGGGCTGAACTGAACTGGGATCCGGAAACAACCGAAGTCTCTTCCATGGGTGGCAGGAACCCAGTCATGTGAGCCTTCATTGTGTCTCTAAGGGTCTGGATTAACAGGAAGCTGGAGTCAAGAGCCGAAATCTGGACTCAAGCTCAGACACTTCAAAATGAGTTGCAGATATCTTAACTGGTTTTCACTGCTAGGCTAAACCCCCACCACATCTTGACCACTGTCCTTGTTATTATTAGAAGGAAGTCTTTATGTTCCCCGTCCTCTTTCTGTCTTGATAAATTTTGGACTGAGTGAAAGTCTGTATTTGTTCATATTTTATATCTTGTGTTAGCAGTCATATCACTCAGTTGACATGGCCTTGATAAAATGTGTTTCTCTGAATTTTTTTCTATCTACTATCTTTTATAAAGTTTTATTAGAAATTGTCACATATAAGTCGTACAGGTGTATGGGGTACTGTGTGAGGTTTGAACCTGTGTATACTTTGCCAGATGACCACATCAGAGTATTTAGCATTCCATCATCTCAAGTGAAATTGTTATTGCCACTCAGAATCTTCTTGTCTCCTTGCTTTGATATGAACATTGCTTCACTAATGGGTATTGTCATGCTATTGTGCATAGAGCAGCAGAGCTTATTTCTCCTAACCAGCTGTGACATTTTCCCCCTGACCAAGTCTTTTCTCATCTCTTCTACCCTGCCTCCATCTCAGTCTCTAGTAATCATTATCTACTCTGTACTTCTATGTAATTAACTTTTTTTAGATTTATTTATTTATATTAGAAAGGCAAATTTTTAGAGGAGAAGAGATAGAAAGACCATCCATCCATTTCTGTTGGTTCACTCCCCAAGTGGCTGTAGCGGTCAAAGTTGAACTGATCTGAAGCCAGGAGCCAGGAGTTTCTTCTGGGTCTCCCACACAGGTGCAGGGTCCCAAGGCTTCGGCCATCCTTTATTGCTTTCCCAGGCAACAAGCAGAGAACAGGATGGGAACTGGAGTAGCTGGGACACAACTGATGCTCATATGGGATGCTGGCACTTGAAGGGGGAGGAATATCCAGCCAAACTATCATGCTGGGCCCATAATTGACTTTTTTTACAAACCACATGTAAGAAAATGTGATGTTTGTCTTATGTACCTGGTTTACGTCCCTTAATACAGAGTTTTCCATATTCATCCATCTTGTCACAGATAACGTGACTTCATTTTCTAAAAGATTTATTGTATTTTTATTTAAAAGGCAGAGAGAGAAAGGGAGGTCTTCGATCTCCTGGCTCATTCCTCAAATGACTGGAACAGCTGGAGCTGGTGATCCGAAGGCAGGAACCAGCCATTCAATGCCAGGAGACAGGAGCTTCTTCTAAGTTTCCCATGTGGGTGCAAGGGCACAGGGACTTGAGCCATTCTCTGCTAGCAGAGAGCAGAGGGAGATCGGGCTCTTCAAAGCAGGAGCCATGATGATTCTGATCTACTGACAAGGACGCAGTCTGTCTGCACAGTCCTTATAAGGACTGTCTGGCCCGGAGAAGGGGTTGATCCCTCTTACAAAGAGGAGTCAGCAAGCTCACTGGCTGATGTAATATTGCCTTACACCCTGATCTGTTCTAAAGATGTCTTGGGTATCTGTAAATCCTGAGCGCAGGGACTTCACGTTCAAGGAAGACTCGGAAAGAGAATATTTTGTGTCTCCTAAATCAAAATAAAAGACATACTCCTGCCTTAATGAGACTGAAAAGATTATTTCCAAAACCTGTCTCTCCCTGTTTAACTGTTGTGATTGCAGAGAATATTGTGTGTTCTAAAAGCTCCAATATTTTAAGATGTTAGGGTTAGTTGTTTGGGCTTCTGTTGCAGTCATTGGTGGAATGTGATAGGCAGAATGAAGAGTAGGAACCACTTTCAGAAACACAGTATGGAAAGGAGACCTTTGGGTCCGCTTCTGTCCCAGGCCAGATAGGTGGCTTCTGGCAGATGATGTCCTGTCTAAGGGCCATAGTGTCCTGCTTTGCTTGACAAAAAAACATAGAGGCGTTGAGTCTGCAGTGACAGCTTCTTCGTTGCTTTTCTTCTTTTATTCCTTAAACATTTGTTTAGCACTTTTCTCCTTAAATAATCCTTTCACCTCCAAAATTTCATTTGCTCCTTACACCAGCCTATGGCTGGGATGTTAAGGACGTGCTTACTGCTGATGCTATATCCCACAGTGGTCCAAAGACACAACTCCAGGGGGCCAAGGATGTGCAAACTCAGATCTTCTGACTTCACCTCTTGGCTTGCTTTTTTCTATCAAATGGATTTTAATGTTTTTTTTTTAGCTGATAACATGGAAAGCTCTATGTATACCTTTTCTTTATTTTCATTTTAATATAATATAATATATATAAATATACATATATATATACATGTTTTTAAAAATTTCTGTTTATCTTAAAGAGAGCGCACTCCCCCACCTGCTGATTCACTCTCCCAATGCCTGCAACAGCCATGGCTGGGACGAGTCAAAACCAGACCAGAGCTCATGCAGTGAGAGAACCATCACCTTCTGACCCCAGGGTTTGCCTTAGCAGGAAGCTGGAATTGCAAGTGGAAGCCAGGACTTGAAAACAGTCATTCCCATTGAGATGTGGGCACACTATTTGGCATGCTAACCATTGATGAAACACCCAACCCTGGAAGTATTGTGTAAGGACTCTTAGTCTTGGCTGAGGTCATTGGTGCCACTGACTTTAAGGAAGCTTGGAAGTGGGAATCAGCCTGTAGGATGCCATTTCCCTTCCCTAGTGTGTGGATTTTCCACTTTGGAATTCACTACTTCCTGCTTCCCATCTCCCTGCTTGTAGTTCAGGTACTCATGCTAACAGACCTTGGCCCTTAGGCGCTTGTGGTGACGCTGGGTCTGAGAGAGCTGCCTACGCTGTATTTCCAGTTTGGATGCAAATTGTTTTTCTTTCTGAAAGAGCCTAATCGGAAAGAATTCTCCTTTGCTGTTTTCCATGGTGTAAATGGTAGCATCAGAAATCCTTTGAAATCCAGGAAGATACATATGTATCCGTTATTTTGCTCAAAAGCTGTAGGGGCATGAAAAGATGCATGCTCAGATCCACAGCCCTTCCGTAGTTTTGTGTATTTTGGGTTCTTGGAGGAAGCTATTGGCCATGGCAAGCAGCCACATTCATGTTTGATGTTCTAGGTTGTAAATCCCACAGTGCATAAATCTTGTAAGTGATATCAAACTTATTTATTTTAGTTGTTTTAAAAATTGATTTGAAAATCAGAGTAATAGAGAAAGAGAAAGATCTTTAATCTATTGATTCACTCCCTAAATGATTGCAACAATCATACAGCTGAGAGCCGGGAATTTCAACCACACTCTCCATATGAGTAGCAGGAACCATCTTGGATCATCTTCTGCTGTTTTCCCAGTCACATTCACAGGGGGCAGTTGCAACCTGAACCAGCACTCCAATGTGGGATGCTGACATTACAGTCAGTGGCTTAGCATGTTGTGAGACAATGTAAACCCTATATATATTTTTTAAAACTTCAGAGCCAGAGGAAGGCTGGAAGGGAAGGAGAAAGAGAGAGAACGAGAAAGAGAGGGGAGAGGCTCCTATCTGCTCTCGAGAATCAGGCTGAATCCAATCAAACTCAGGAGCCAGGAACCTCAGTTTGGGTCTCTCACATGGGTAGCAGGAACTTGAATACTTGAACCACCATGGCTTCCTCCAAGGTCTGCACTAGCAGGAAGCTGTTGTCACACACCAGAGCCCATGATCAGGTACTCCAGTATGGAATATGGGTATCCTAACTGCTAGTGTAAATACTTGCTCCACCAATGTTTTAAAGTTTATTTATTTATATGAAAGAGGCAGAGAGAGTTCTTGTATCTTTTGGTTCACTTCCCAGGTGGCCACAACAGCCAAATCTGGGCCAGACCAAAGCTAGGAGGCAGGATCTCCATGCTTGTCTCCCGCATGGGTGGCAGTGGCCCATATACTTGGACCATCATCCACTGCCTTATCAGGTATATTAGCAGGAAGCTGGATCAGATGCAGAGTAACTGGGTTACTGGCATTCTGTTTTGTTCCCCATTTTTAAAATAAAATAATATCTTCCACATCTTCACTTAAACATTACCTTTATCAGTGACTTGTTAGTTCTTCCCTGAAAATTTGTTGCAGCATTTGCAAACTTTGAATTTATCATTTGAGTTTGTTTTTTGCACCTGACCACAACCGACACTTTCACATCATCCCTCACTTGACTATTGGCTGCTTTGTTTCACAGGAGCAGACGATCTACAGATAAAGGTCACCCCGACCCCAGAGCCATTTTCACATGGGAAATGGCTGCCAATTTCACCAACATGGCCTTTCTCAGATGCCAGGTCTTCTCCAGCAGTGGACAGGGTCAAGAACGTGCCAGGACCATCCCCTGAGAATGCGAGCTTGCTGCAGTTGGCCCAGACGCCTGTGCCTCGGACTTCCCGCAAAACTAGGGCTCATGCAGACTTCCTTTACCAAGGAAGTGGGCACAGCGCCTCCTTTGAACCTTCCAAGGATTCCTCTGAGTCCCTGGAGCACCCAAGGCCTCGAGGAGGAAGAGAAGTAGCCGACATATCAGGTTTGCTTTGCACCAGCATGCTGCCCACATTGTCTACCATCCCATCGGTGACCTTGAGCACCATCCTCCTGTCCCAGCCAGCACTGGTGGGGACTCCTCCCCTTTCCTCTCATCCTGCAAAAACAGATATCCTCTCACAACCCAATCCACCTTCATCTTCTCCATTGGCCCCTAACTCACCTCATACCATCACTTTTTCTAAGCCAACAGAACAGTCAACCAAAGTGTCTCCATTCCCCCCCACCTGAAAGTTCCAGCCAGTTCTTCTGTCAGTCAAAGCATAGCTAAGTCCCTAACCCCATTTTCTGATGACATGAACCACACTCCATCCCCCAAACCCAGGATTTCAAAGGCATCCCTCATGTAGTCCCTCTCTGGATTCTCAACACAATATGATTTGGAGCTGTCCCCAACAGAGGATCCCCCTTCGTAGGCTGTCCTACACCTGGAGTTTTGAATTCAATGGCAAGGCTGGCCCATCTGTTTCCCACACCCCTGGCCCCTGAAAGTCCTCCTTGGCTTCCACATGGAACCCTCTCCAGCTCTGTGTTGGAAGTGGCTGTAAGTCCTGCCTTCTCTCTGCCCATCAGCACCAATGTGGCTGAGGGAGAGCACTGTGGGGTGTCTGTGCCGACACTCAAAATCACAGCAGCAGTAACAGTGATCCACAAGGCCAAGCTTTCACTTTTCCAGACTGTAGGTCCAATGGCTTTAAAAATGACCAGCCACAGAAAGCTGGCCCCACAACTGCAGAGGAGGGTTCTGCTAATTCACACTTGTCAGCAATTCCAGAGAGTTCTGGAAGGTTTGCCCTTTCTGCAGAATACACATCTTCATTTCCTTCTTATTTCACTGCACTGAGTCAAGGGCAGGCTGTGCTCTCTGGGACAACTCCTGCGTGGAGTGAGATGGGGAGCAATGCCCCACACCCCTTTGTGGAGATTCCTGCCCCTCAAGAGGCGAAGGACAGGTTCCCTCCTGCACAGTCACAGGCATCCCTTACTCCAGCCAGCTGCCAGATTTGCTCTTCATGGCTCAGATATTTCTGCTGCTGCAGCAGCACAGCATGGCAAGCCTATTCAGGGATCATAAGCAGGCAAATGGGATGCTTCCTTCCCAGGCGCTTCCAAGTGAAGAGGTTCCAAATCTGCACACTGTAACTGAGTTCACTGACATTAGCCCTGATCAGATTCATCTCCCATCATGGCCACATCTAGAGCAAACCTCCTTCCTTCAGTTGCACCTCCACCTTCCACACGCCCCAGACATACTTCCCAGCCAGTGGCCTCGTCATCTGGCTTTTCCCATGCCTGGCCAGAGAACCATACACTTACAGAGGCCCATATTGAGTGGCCAGATTCAGCTCCCAAAAAGGTGACAGCATTTCCCTCCTCCACTAGTGTCTACAATTTCTTAGCAATGGGAGATGTAAAAAAGGCAGCAGGTGCAGATATTTTGTGGCATTCCCTTCTAGCGGAAACTGAGTCCCCTTCCAAAGACCCAGTGCCATCTGGTTTTCAGCAGCAAACAAATGAGGGTTTCAGTGGACACATAATTAACTTCACAAGTTGGCAAAGTCATTCTGTTTTAACTGGTTCTCCCAGTGGCTCACTCACAGCTACCAATGCCATTGCAATAACATCTCAGAGTTTCCAAAATACTGTTGGGCATGTGGTGACTACAGAAGGCCTTAGCATTCTGGATCTGCTCTCCAGTTCCAGTTTCCACCATCTCAAGTCAGGTGTGACCGTGGTTGGAAGCCGTAAGGATGTCTGGCGTACAAGCAGTAACAGCCATTCCAGGAACTTTGAAACAGCTGCAGTTGAGTATTACCCAGTCATAGGGCAACGGTCTGGGTCTCGTCTCCACCTGCAGCCTCCTGTTCGGCTAACACATTTCCCTTAGAGGCCCTAACCATGTCTAACTTCAACAGCCAGCTTGCAGGAGATATTGTCAGGTGGGACAAATCTAGGTGCTCAGATTTCCAGTGTCATCTCTTCATCACCTGTGATACATGCTCCCACATCCTTCCAGGGTGCCCAAGGATATTCCTCGACAGCTGAATCTCCTCCTCTATTGACCAGTGTCTTTTCTAGGATCTCTTTTAAGTGCTGCAGCTTCTCAGCGCCCCAAGAAATGGACAGGTGCATCCACTAATGCAGGTAGTTTATTTCCTAGAGCACACAGAACAGTTGTGACAGCTTTCCAAAGCATCTTCAAGCTGAACACAGATGCCCAGCTTTGCTCTAAAAGAACACACACACCCTTTTTAGAATGAGTTAGCAGCCCCACTAGGCATGAACGTGATCTTCTGCCCACTTGATTTGTTCAAAGTCATCAGAACTTATGTGTCTTAGTGTCAACCACAGCTTTGCTCTAAATGGCATCCTCATTATGATGAATCAGTTAAATGAGCCTAAACTTCTTTTGCCTAAGTTCCTTTCACTGAAAGCCCAGAGAACAGAGACCTTCCATCTCAACCCTCGCTTACTTCCATTTATCATCAGAACAAGTGATGTGTGTCATTCCTGCCCAATGACAAACTTTGTTGTTTTTGTCTTTACAGTGGACTCTTCAGTAGCGTTCAAGATAGAGCCAACAACAGCAGCAGCCACATTGTTTTTGAGAAAATCAAGTACGCTGGCTCTGTCTGCAGCCCTGGTTGCTAAGGGCACCAGCAGCAGTGGATTAGCCAAGAGTAGTCTGACCACTGTTTTGGCTAAAAATGTCACACACAAAGTGGCATCCAGCCCCAAGGTGGTGCCTGGGGCAGTCCATACAGCCTTCCCGTTGATACCAACCTACATGATGTCAAGAACAGCACACACCATGAGCACACAGACAGCCATGCAAGGGATCCCTGTCACTGCCTCCAGCCTGCTGTCCACAACACACCTTCCCAGGAAATCACAAGCCATGCACACTGGTCTCCCAAACTCCGCCAACCCAGAGGTGCCCAGAGCGTCCACCCCACGCCCACTGACAGTCACAGCAGCACTGACCTCAGGCACAGCACCAGTAAAGGCGACTCGGCTGCCACCGTCGCCAGCAGAAAACACAGATGCTGCTCTTCTTGCAGTGTCGACTGCAATGGTCACTACCAGCAAGATGGCATCCAACCTGGAGTGCCAGATGTCCAGGAAGCTCCTGGTGAAGATAGGTGAGAAGCCACTGGCCTTCTTGATTGTATTTATGAGAGAGCATGAGTGAGCGAGCAAGAGCCTGCTCGAAATGCCCACGTTAGCTGCATGGGCTGGGCCAAAGCTAGAAGCTGGGAACTCAAGCTGTGTCTCCAATGTGGGTGATAGGGAATCAGCTCTTAGAACCATCAGTGCTGCCTCTGAGGGTCTGCATTAGCAGGAACCTGGAGTCTGGATCGTAACTGCTAGGCTAAGCACCTGCCTCCTATGATCTTACTCACTTGACTTGAAGGCAGCAAATCTGGGCTCAGAGATGGATCAGAATGATTTTCTTTTCAGGTATGCAGTGCTCAATCATGAGTGACTCTTGACCCCTGCACCACTGGGTGGCATTTGGCCATGTCTGGAGGTATTTGAAGGGAGGAGTACCATTGCAATCTTGTAGACTGGAGATCAGGATCCAACCCTTGACATTAAAGAACAATCCAGCCCCGAGTGTCCTTAGGGCCATGGTGATGTGGGGGCTATGTAGGATTCTACTCCTAGGATCAGTCCTGATGGCTGAGGTTCTTGGGAAACCACAGTCGTCTGCAAGGATCTGAGAAGAGAAACATGCACAATTTGGCCTGCAAAGTGATGTCTCCTAAATAAGTAATGTTTTGTGAAACTCAGAATCTTGGGAAGTGTTTTGTGGGGTATGTGCTCAGTGCAGTAGATACTAGAAGTACAGAGCTCCATACCTTACATACAGAGGATTTCTTTTAACGGCATAGAGGAGACTTTCTTGGAACAGCTGGCATTCCTAGTGCCCTGAGCAGAGCTGGGACACAGTTTGCCCAGGCTCCACCTCCCCTGTGGCAGAAATACAGGCCTAGCCTGCCCGGGTGCTTTTAATAGTGTGGTAATGTTTGCTATAAAAAGCTGATGAATTATTGGAAAGAGCCTGCCAATGCGGGATGCTCGAATCCAGCCTTCCTTCTCACCCTACAAAAAATTACATGAAGCTCTATCTGGAGACATATCCTATTCTAAAACAGGAGACTGTGAAACCAGGCGCAGCAGCAAGTACAGTATTCTGCTTCCCAAGAAATGATACCATCTGTTTTCCCACCTCCCTACCTCCTCCCTTCAGATCTGTGCCATTTGCTCCAAGTGACAGGCAGCTCCACGCCCCAAGAGGCAGGAAAATCCCCCGTCCAGCCATCTAGTTAAGAATCCCTTCCCAGCGTGTCTCATCAATTCCTGGTTCCTCCCCTTTGATTCTCTGCCCTGGGTACTCAATCTCCCTACCCTACCTGCCACTTCTAGTGCTCACCTGACTTTCTGCTACAACAGCCATATCATCTCTCTCTGCCTTCAGACTCCTCCTCCTCCAATCTGTTCCCTAGTCTGCAAAGAAACCAAGATACATTGCTTTGTTTAAAACGTTTCACTTTTCATTGCTCTCGGGACCAAGGCTAAGCACACCTACTGAAATATTCCCTTTCCCTGCGCCCTTGCATTTGGCGTTCCCTCCACTGGGAGCTGTTAGAAGCACGTTTTGCCCTGTGGTATTGCACCTGTTCACCCTCAGGACTTTGCTGATGCATCAGTTCCCATGGATGCTTTTCTTTATACCCAGCCCCTTGCCCCACTCAGGGCTACATGCTCTTTGTAGATGCTCCAACAACATCCTAGACTTCACCTCAGAGAGCACCTGTCACCTTCCATTGCCTTTGCTTCAGCCCATGTCTCTTGCCAGTTGGTGAGGTGGGAACTTTCCCTTCCCAGTGCTAGCTCAGGACCCACACTCAAGCAGGTCTCCAATGACTGCTGTTGTAGAAGTTTCATAGCATACTAAGCCCACCGTTAAGGTAAGATAAAGAGGTGAATGGGGGTAAAAAATGAAGTGTCACCAGCCCACCGGCACTCACTCTCCCTCTCTCCCCTCCAATTAGGGCCACAAATGGAGGAGCCATTCTTTGCTTAGGGCTTTACAGAGCCACTTCTCCAGCCATCAAGGGTGGCACCTACACTCACCAGCTTAACCCGGAACTTGCAGGAGGCAGGGCTGTGTGGGGGGAATGAGGGCTTGGGAATCACATGGTGCTGGACCTAACCCTGACTCCCTGGGTTCTGTTTTGCTCCCACAGTTCTCTTTGTAATGCCGAGAAGAGCACAGAGCAGTGAGACCTTGAAGCTCTCCGTGGCCAAGGGGCTCACGCAGGCCTTGCGGAAGGCTTTCCGCCAGAGTGATGTTGCTGCCCATGTAAGCTCCTAGCCTTGCCAGAGCATGCTCGGGTTGTCTGTCTCCTCCCTAGTGACCATGGCTACACTTTGCAGAAGTAGACTGCTTCTTTATTTTGCCAGATAGCTAGTGTATGGTGGTCAGAACAAGAAAAGCTTAAAATTGAGTAATTAAGACTAATAACCTGTGAACAGAGGGTTTTTTTAAAAGCCTAGTTTATGAAGGCATGTCAAGGAAACAGAAAAATTGAATTAAAATTTATGTTTATCTTGGAGCAAAAAGTTTTGAAATCTATGTATACTAGGGGTCTTCCAAAAATTCACAGAAAATGAGTATTATGAAAAAAAACTATACATGGATTTCAAATGAACTTTGTTCCATTTTTTGCACTCAAATAAACTTTGTTCCATTTTTTCCCAAACTTTTTGGTACTACTCTGAAGTATCCCACTAGCGTGTCTTTTAGAGAAATGTATTTAATATTGTTTGTGTAACTCTCTAGAAAGTAGCCATTGCTTTTTCCTTTATCCAAACACATCATTAGTAATAGTGATTTATTTCTAGATATTTAGAAATTATTCCTACTTGTAAACCAAGTCCAACTTTGCTTCAGTTGCCAAGAGCAACCAGAGAAGTGAGCATTTCACTTTTGTCCAAACACTTTAATGCCAAGTACTGTTTAACAACTGCTGGCTGGTGTGAGTGACATAGTCAAGCGATCCGGCTTTGGTTTACACTGTGTTGATTCAATTCCAAAGTGTTGTGGCAGTAAGTGCAGTTGGCAATCTTGACTCTTCTTTTGCCCCTCACCTGTCGTCCTCCTTTGAGGTTCTGTGTTCCAGCTGCTTTTGGTGTTGTAATTCTCTCCCTGCTCACAACACTGACCGACCAAGTTGGGGTCATGAGGGGTTTGGTGGAGGGATTGAAATGGTTGTATATTAGTGGGATATTAGTTGTTTGGTTGGGTTGTTTGGGTGGTTTGGAGGTGGGTGGGTGGGTTATTGGTTGAAGTATTTGTGTTTGGTATGAATTGTGTTAGTTTGGTGTTTGGGTATTGGGTGGTTGGTGATGGTTTGTTGGTTGGTATGTAGGTATGGGTGGATGGATTGATTAGTAAAATGTTTGTTTGTTTGGTGATATTGAATGTTTGGTTGGTAGGTAGTTGGTAGGATAGGTTGGTCGTGGAGTATTGTTTGTATAAAAGATATGTTTGATTTAGATAGTTTGTATAGTTTATGTTTGAATGTTATGTATTGTTGATTTTTGTTTGTTTTTGTTTGTTTGGAATGATATGGGTGTAGGGGGGGTGGGATAAATTAAGGTAGGGGGTTGGGTTTTTGGGGTTGAGGCTATGGGGTGGAAGTCAATGTAGTTGAGATAGGTGAGTGTGGAAGTAGGGAAATGGGGTGTTGGATATGTAGGTTTATGGTGGTGTGGATTGGGAATCAAATTTATTGTGGGTGGTGGTGGTGGTGATTAATGGGGTAACTGTATGCTACAGTTTGGTGCTTTGGGGTATTAAATGCACAGAGTACGCAGTTTGTTGTACAGGTTTTTGGGACATTTGGATCATGATTTGGTATTTTTTTTTGGGAAATTCTTTCGGCACGGGGTAATGCATACTCACATTGTGAACTGCAGATGGCCCGGAGCTTGAGTCTAGCAAACCTGTTTTTTAATAGGAAGATTTAGCAAGGGGAAGAAGGGGTTCACAGCCAGGCAATAATCCCTGCACTGATACTGGATCTTTGAGGTGATCAGGGCTGGAAAGGGAGCCACTTTGTCTCCAGGTAGTTTGTGCTATTTCTGCTGCACCTGTGTTCCATCCTGAGGTACCACATGTTCCACCTAATGTCATCTGGAGCGTCAGTATTAGAAGACCAGCTGATGGGCACACACACTGAGGGGCTAAAGGCACAGCCACCCTGTTGCAGAATTAGAGGTCTTGGCTTTTTTGGAGAACACACCTGGTAGTAGTAATGGAGATGTAACAATGAGTTGGGTGTGGAGGATGAATCAGGTCCTCCAAACACCCTGGCTAGAGTCCCAGATTTCTAAGATGAATGAGTTCTGGAGGAGGATGGTGACGATCTTTGTGCACCAGGATGGATGGAATTGACTCCACTGAACAATACAGGTCAAAATGATAAAGATGGTGGAGTGTATGTGATACGTATTTTACCCCAATCAAAAAACCGGGGAAAAGAAGATTTATACAGACATTGCCTCTATTGCCACCGCGCCGGGCCCGCTGTCTTTTAAATCTTAAAAGTGATGAGGTGGCGCAAGTGGTTAAGGGTCCTCGCCTTGCACACCCAGGATCCCATATGGACGCCGGTTCTAATCCCGGCAGCCCCGCTTCCCTTCCAGCTCCCTGCCTGTGGCCTGGGAAAGCAGTTGAGGACGGCCCAAAGCTTTGGGACCCTGCACCCGATGGGAGACCTGGAAGAGGCTCCTGGCTTCGGATCGGCATAGTATCGGGCCGTTGCGCTCACTTGGGGAGTGAATCATCGGACGGAAGATCTTCCTCTCTGTCTCTCCTCTCTGTATATCCGCCTTTCCAATAAAAAAAAAATAATAAAAATAAATCTTAAAAAAAAAAGTGATGAGAAATAGAATGAAGACGGTTTCCCAGCATTCCATTTGCCAGAAATGTCTTTTGCCTGCTTTCTCCTCACTGCCTTTTTGGCAATGTGTGGTGCTCATAGGATTATACTGAGTTGCTTAAAAATTAAAATAGCACAGACCTAGTTCTGTCCCATGTAAGGTTGACATGAATTATGTTTTTCTGTGTGGTGATAGTTTGAGACTTGTCAAGTGGTACATATTTTGTATAATTGTTAGAAATTTTGTTGAATGAGAACATTCTATTCTTTAGCCTTGCTACCTGCCAGTTATGGATCTAAGAGATCACAAGTATTCTGAAAATAAACAATGTGTTTGTGGGTCCATTTGTTTTGTAGGTGGACATTCTAGAACATTCTCATAATGTCACGATTGGTTATTATGTTACCAAAGGAAGATTAGTGTACCTGCCTGCCATAGTGATGGAGACACTTGGTGTTTATGGAGTCAGCAATGTCACAGCAGATCTGAAACAACACACCCCAAACTTGCAGTCTGTGGCAGTCCTTGCTTCCCCATGGAATCCCCAGCCTGCAGGCTACTTCCAGCTGAAAACAGGCAAGTAACTCAAAAGAAAATGTGCCTTTCCCATTTGGGAGTCAAGGGCAGTAGTGCATGAACACATGTTTTAAATCCCCATTGCTAACTGCTCTGTTGTCTTGTGAAGTCTGTGCTTTCCTCAAAGTGCCCTGCCAATCAGATGTCCACATTCCCTTTCCATCCTTGGGTCTATCGGGAATGTCTCGCTGGAGCCTTCCTTCTTGATGTATAGAATTTGTACCTTTGAGCTCCAGGTAGAATGCTCCACCTTGCGTCACGAGAGGATAAGCCAGGAATTGAGTGGCCACAGAATCAATGGTTTGCAGCTGCAGGTTTCACATGCTGCTCAGCCAGTGTCTCTGAGTCTAGGCCCTTGAATCTGTTTTTTTCAAGCTAGTGATTTCTGACCCTCAAGGTTTGTAAACTGCAGGAATCGCAAAACCATTGAAAAAGCAACAATCAACTTACTCATAGGAGTCCATTGATTGTGGTTTTCCCTTCAAAAAAATACAAGGCCAGATGTCAAAATATTTTTGCCAGTCACTGGGGGAGCTGTCTAGATATTCCAGTTGATAAAGTCACAAATCCTTTGCAACGGAGGGGATCTCAGGTTCGATTGTGTTTTTAATTCTTCCTGACATGAATCATGTTAAGTCACCTTCAGAGCTACAGTCAAGCCTTGGCTGGACTTATGTTTATTTGCCTCGCTTCCCTTGATCTTAAATGCTGCTATTTTACGTCGTGGCTAGTGAAAGCCGAGAAGTGGAGACACAGAGTTCGGTGAGTGCTGATTGATCGCTCTTGTTGTAGTGCTGCAGTTTGTGAGCCCATCGGACAACGTCCAGAGCTGCAAGTTTGCTCAGACAATGGAACAGAGACTGCAGAGGGCGTTCCAGGATGCTGAGAGGAAAGTCCTGAATACCAAAAGCAACTTGACCGTCCAGGTAGGGCGGAGGGTGCTTCAAGCTGTGTTGTTAACAAATGATCAGAATGCACATTTGATTGTTCAGAAATGAACCAGCCCCTGTTTCATTGTAAAAACCGTTTTGTACTTGGGGCATCTGAGGCTGACAGTTGCGTTATTGGTAGAGATGTGTGGCATCTGGCTGTGATGGGAGAGGTACTATGTTGCTGTGTCCCTGCTAAGGCCCGGAGTTTTATATTTCTTTTCCTATGTGATTCTTTTCAGGCCTTTTTAAGATGGATTTTTTTAAATAAAATTGAACTAGTATCTCATGTATGTTAGGTTCTAATATAAAATCAATAAATGAATTGATTTTTCAATAGCTAACTCACCAAGATTTACTTGTTGTGCAATTTGCATTTGGTTCAATTGCAGACATGTGTGTCAATGATAATCCTAGTTTATACATGCATACATTTTGTACTGAGGGCTCGCTAGGTACCAGAAACTATGCTAAATACTTTACTAACAGCATACTTAAGCTGTGCTTCTGAGATAGTCTTACTCCCACTTCATGAAAGAGTGAACTGAGAGGTTAAAAATCTTACTGAAGGCTCCATGGTTGGAAGCAAGATTTGAGCTAAAAGTCTACACTCTCATCCAATAAGCTACATTAGTATCAGTGTCATGCTGAAATGGATCCTTAATGAAACTTTCTGCAAACACAGAAATTCTTTCCCAGGGAAATCTCACGCCTAAAGAACTATATTTTAGCTTCCTGGATTAGCAGTACAGACATCAGCAGAGAGAGGCCTGTTGCAGACCCATGGTCTGTAATTGTTTAGATATCATCTTAGTAAGGACAGATGCTTCTCAGTGATATTCTTTCAGCCCCCAAATTTCGATAATTAACTGTCTGTGTTTTGACTACTGAACTAAAGCCTTTACAATTAGACCCGGTGGTTTCAAAATTGACATTTAGCATAAGGGAATTATCAGCAAAGCCAATGTGATGTAGAGAGCATACAGTTTAATTTGTAACAGTAGCTTTCCTTTTCTAGATTTATCCTGAATGTAGATGGAAGTAGCTCATTATAATTTGCTTCTTATTAGACTAAGATCTGAAAATGTGTCATAGACTTAAGATTTATGTAAGAAGTATGACTCAGCTCTCCTGTGGGAGGTCTTTTCTTTTGGATTGCATTTCTGATCCTCACAGGTGCAGGAGCCTAGTCAGAGCTTGGCAGCAAAGCACACTTTAATTGTATTCTGGAAACAGACATAAAGAGCACCTGCTATTTATCAGGCACTGGGAGAGACATCAAGAAAAATCAGCTGCCCTTGGCCTTAGGAAGCCTTTCTTGTATTGTGTGGTGCTTATGGACCGCTAAACGAAGCTTTATAAATGAAGTAACAGACCTACCTTCTTTGGAAAGGTCTACAGCAGGTGTTTGGAAAATTGCATCTCAATATATTATAGATGCTCTAAAACATTGCAACAGCTTTTTAAATGGATGGCTAATGGCATGAATCATTTAATTAACCCTATTTCACTTTTTGTGTTAGCTGACAGAGGCCCAGAGCTAAATGTGTTGCCTGCATTTAGTAACCCTCTCAGTCCTATCATGCATCCATTCCACTGGGGTAATTCTTCATCTGTTTCTTCCAGGATTTGGATTTGTAATTAATAATCCTCCATTATATTTTGATTAACATAATTCATAAGGAACCTCACAGCCCTTGTAGGCTATGACCACCTACAAGTTTCATTAATTCATTTTGTTTTTCTGAGAACGTGACTATTTTAGCTTTATTGTTGGGGCTAGGTCACAGTTGACTCAATTTGGAGATGGGGCAGAATTGAGCATAAAAGACTTCAGCAGAAAAAGGAAGTTGGCTCACGTTACTGGCAAATTCACAGCCTGTAATTGGATCCAGGTGCTCAGATGATTTCTTCATGAGGTTCTCCCTCACTTGCCTTGCTTTGCTTTGAGCTGTTGTCATCCTCAGCTTCCACGGGGTGCTTCTTGCAGGTTTGCCTCCTCCTTAATATGCACAGAATGGTGGAACCATGCAGTGCTTTGTTTTGTGTGTCATGCCAGTCCAAATTTTGGGCTTGGCTCTCAAGGGACCAACAATGCTCAAGTCTAGATTGGGCCAACATTAACTATAACCAAGAAGGCGGAATGTTCCAGTCAAGCTGGCTTGGATGCTCACTGGTGCAACTTGGGTGGACTAGCCCAACCATGGACATGAATAGGGAGGAGATAGGAGGTGGGTCTTCAAGAAAATTGTGATGCTCTTCCAGAAGGCAGAACGGAAAGGAAAAGGGGTGATGGCAAAGTGTGCCTTGCCGAAGTTGCCTCTCCTGCACTGACATGGTCTGACTCTTGAGGACCAGAGGTATTATCTTGATCTTGGTCTAATATACCTCTTATTTTGGGGGCTAGTATCAAAAGCCACCAGAAATTATCCTACTTTGTGCTTAGCTGTTAAAAAAAACTTATTGGAGAAGACAAAAATAAATGAAGGACATCCTATGATTATAGAGTAATAGATGTCAACACTACCAAAAGGATCTACGTTTAAACAAAAAAGATTCATTTTTATTGAAAAGTCAGATTTACAGGGAGAAGAAGAAACAGAAAGATTTTCCATCTGCTGGTTTACTCCCCAAATGGCTGCAATGGCCACAATGGCTGAAGCTGAGCTGATCTGAAGTCAAGAGTCAGGGTTTCTTCTGGGTCTCTCACATGGGTGCAGCATCCCAAGGCTTGGGCCATCCTCCACTGCTTTCTCAGGCCACAAGCAGGGAGCTGGATGGGAAGTAGAGCTGCCAGAATGCAAACTGGCACCCATATGAGATCCTGGCATTTGAAAGAGAAGGATTAGCCAACTGAGCCATTGTGCAAGGCCCAAGATTTGCATGTAATCTACATGTAATGCAATTCCCATCAAGATTTCAGTGATCATTTTCTTAACAGAAACATTTATATTGAAACTTATATGGAATCTCAAGGAATCACAAATAACTGAAGCAATCTTTTTTTTTTTTTTTTTTTACTGTTTATTTATTATCTGCAAAGCAGAGTTAGAGAGAAATGGAGAGGGAGAGAGAGAAATCTTCCTTCCAGCTGCTGATTTACTCTCAAATGACTGCAGTGCTGGAGCTGAGCTGATCCAAAGCCAGGAGCCAGGAGCTTCTTCTGGGTCTCCCATGTGGAGGCAGGGGCCCAAGAAGTTGAGCCATCTTCTGCTGCTTTCCCAGGCACATAAGTGGGGAGCTGAATTTGAAACTAGAACTGTTGGGACACAAACAAGTGCCCATTTGGGATTCTGGCATTTCAGGCAGAGGTTAAGCTTATTAAGCCACAACACCATCTGTAACCAAGACAATCATGAAAAGGCAAAACAAAGTTGAAGGGTCATACTTCATAGTTTCAAAATGCACTCCAAAGCTTTGGTGACCCAAACATTGTGGTGATGGTATCAAGACAGACACAGATAAATGGAACAGAATGGAATAGAGAAGCCAAAAACGAACCCCTTCATGTTTGGCCAAATTATTTTATTTTTTGAAAATTTATTTGAGAGACAGACAGAGCTCCTCTCCACTGATTCACTCCCTAAATGCCTACAATGACCAGGACAGGAACAGACCAAAGCTGAGAAACCCATTTCATGTCTCAAACCTGGATGGCAGTGCCCTAAATACTAGAGTCATTATGTGTTGCTCCCTGAGAAGGATTCACATTGTCAGGAACATGGACTTGAGATCTGGAGCCAGAAATTAAACCTAGACAGCCTGATATGGCATAGGGCACGTCAGCTGGCATCTAGACCAAAACGCTAGGGCAAATGATTGCTTCAGTCAGATCATTGACAAAAGTGCCAAAGCGACTAAATGAGAGGTAGGAAAACTAGCCATTTCAGCAAAATGAGAAAACTGGATATCTGCATGTCGGTGAATGAAGATGGACATTATCTACCAACATTAACTCAGAATGTATTGAACTGAAATTAAGAGCTGAAGTTAGAACTCTTAGAAGAAATTATAGGGGACAACTTCATAACTTGGGATTTTAAAATGATTTGTTAGCTCTGACACCAGGAGCACAAGCAGCAAACGTTAAGAAATATACAAAATGGGTTTCATCAAAATTAGAACTTTTTTTGTATTAAAAGACAGAACCCACAGAGCAAAATGCCAATGCACAGAATAAAAAGATATTTGCAAATCATATATCTGATAAATGGTTAATATTCATGACATACAGAATGCCTTAAACTCAATAGAAGTACATTAAGAACTGGGTAAAGGACTTGAATAGACATTACTCAAAAAAAAAAAAAAAAACAAGACATGCAGCAAGCATGTAAAAAGATACTCTGCATCACTAATCATCAATGAAATGCAAGGCGGAGCCATGAGATGTGACTGTATCATGTCTCTCCCGTCCCCAGCAACCAAAACATCAGAACATATGAAGTGTTAATGAGGACATGGAGAAATTGGAATCCCTATGTATTAATAGTAGAAATATCAAATGGAACAGACACTGCAGAAAGCAGTGATTGCTAAAAACAACAAACAAAACAAAAAAACAGGGCCCAGTACAATGGCTCAATTGACGAATCCTCTCCCTTCAAGTGCCTACATCCCGCATGCATGCCAGTTCCTGTCCTGGCTGCTCCACTTCCCATCCAGCTCCCTGCATGTGGCCTAGGAAAGCAAAAGAAGATGACCCAAAGCCTTGGGACCTTGCACCAATATGGGAGACATGGAAGGAGCTCCTGGCTGCTGGCTTCTAAGTGACTCATCTCTGGCTGTTGCAGTCATTTGGGGAGTGAAGTTGCAGGTTAAAGATCTTTCTCTCTGTTTCTCCTTCTCTCTGTAAACATGCCTTTCCAATTAAAAAAATATTTTAAAAATTAGCATGAGGGCCTGGCAAAGTAGCCTTGCACACACCTGGACCCCATATGGACACCAGCTCTAATCGCAGACATCCAGCACTCATCCAGCTGTCTGCTTTTCATCCAGCTCCCTGCTTGTGGCATGGGAAAGCAGTTAAGGATGGACTAAAACCTTGGAACCCTTCACCCACATGGGAGACCCAAAAGAGGCTCATGGCCCTGGGTTCAGATCAGCGCAGATCTGGCTATTTTGGCCACTTGGGCAGTGAATCAATGGATGGAAGATCTTCTTCTCTGTCTTTCCTCCTCCATTAATAACTGACTTTCCAATAAAAATAAAACTATATTTATTTTTTTAAGATTTATTTATTTTTATTGCAAAGTCAGGTATACAGACAGGAGAGACAGAGAGGAAGATCTTCCGTACGATGATTTATTCCGCAAGTGAGCACAATGGTTGATGCTATGCCGATCTGAAGCCAGGATCCAGGAACCTCTTCCAGGTCTCCCACACGGCTTTGGGCTGTCCTCGACTGCTTTCCCAGGCCACAGGCAGGGAGCTGGATGGGAAGTGGAGCTGCCGGGATTAGAACCAGCACACATATGTGATCCCGGCGCATTCAAGGCTAGGATTTTAGCCGCTAGGCCATGCCGCCAGGCCCTATATTTATTTATTTTAAGGTATAATTCCATAGGGTTTTGTATTCCCCTCCACCAAATTTCCACCCCCAACTGATTTTTTCCATAATATTACAATAGTATTGTCCTTCATAAGCAGTCATAACTCCATCAATCTGTTATTTAAATGTGTCCTGACATTGCTCATACAGACAATGCCAGAAAATCCAGTTATCTAGATATGTCCAACAGTTTCATTGGGAATCCATCTTTGATTTGGAAGTAGAGATGCATACCAGTTTGTATCTTCACATCTGAATTTGATAGTCTCTATTACACCATCACTATACATTCCCTTAAACAAGAAGCCATGAAACAAAGTCAACAACAGGTATGAAATTAAAACAGCAACAACAAAAAATGTATAGCACCGTGGAGTCGAGAAAACATGCCACTGAATAGTCAATGCATGGGTGACAAAAAGAAAAATCAAATACCTCTTGGGTAAAATGATGTCACCATGTGATCCATGAGCCAGTGATGAATTCAACAGAAGAAAAAAAACCTTGAAAGAAATGAAAATGAAATCAAACACATCAAAATATATGGGATGCAGCAAAAACAGAATGGAAAGGGTTATCGATATTACAATTTGCATAATGGGTGCCTTATATCAGAGAGAACATATGGTATTTGTCCTTTTGGGATTGACTTACTTCACTCAGCATAATGGTCTCTAGCTGGGATCATCTAGTTGCAGATGGTATAATTTCATTCTTTTTAATGGCTGAGTAGTATTCCATGGAGTAGGTGTACCACAGTTTCCTTAACCACTCCTCTTTGGATAGGCATCTGGATTGCTTCCTTGTCTTCACTATTGTAGATTGTGCTGTTGTATATATAGGATTATAAATACCCTTCTCATATACAGTTTTCATTTCCTTTGGATATATTCCTAGGAGCGGGATAGCTGGATCATATGCTAGGTTAAATTTCAATTCTCTAAGTACTCTCCATATTAATTTCCATAGTGGTTGTTCCAGCCTGCATTCCCAACAAATCAATATAGAACCACTTTTATGATTCAACAATTCCATTTCTGAATATATACCAAAAACACTGAAAGCTTGAACTCAAGTTGGTATTTGTCCACCCATGTCCATAAGTGATTTCTCAGCAGCCATGAGGTGGGAGCAGCAGCCCAGTGTCCTGCACTGGAAGAATGGATAAATAGAGGTGGTATACACATGCGATTGGAAAAGAGCCAGCCTTTAACAGGGGCGGGCATGCTGGTGTAGACATGGAAAAGCCCTGAGGGCATTTTGGTAGCTGAACCAATCCAGTCTTAGCAGAGGTCTCTAGTGTTGTCAGATTGTTCATTGTAAATCACTATAAATGATTCTTCAGAAAGAGTGATGGCTGCATGGCTAGGGGCTAGGGAGAAATCAGGAGTTGTTAGTGGGCACAGAGCTTCCATTTAGGATAAATAAAACATTCTAAATCTGGATGAGCTGGATGGTTTTGGGCAAGCTGGATGAGCTTGCCCAACACGTGCATGTACTTTGTTCTACCGAAGTAAACAATTAAACATTGCTACATTGGTACATTTTATTTTTTATATATTTTCACCACAGTAGTAAAATTGAGAACAATTTGCCTGGTTGAGTGTAATGTGGACAGGGGTACTCAAATTATTGGTTTTGTAGGCATAGTAGGGGTCCAGTAAGATTGAGTTTTGTTGAAAGGTGAAAAAAAAGTAGAATGTTCATTGAACAAATAAAGATCAAAAGATATGAATATTTTATAGCTATGACTTGTTAGGTGGGAGTATGAATCGAATTGTTCAGAAGAAAGTATTTTTTCCTTTTGGATCCTTGGGAAACAAACACGGATGGCTGTGGCTGAATGCATTCCAGAGACATATCCAGAAGGAATGAGTTAAGTGGAAATGTGGACTCTGTTGATCATTAATCACTGAATTGCAGGCGCCAGGTTAGAGAATGAGAAAGAAACTTCCACAATGGGCAAGAGAGTGTGAAAAAGTGAGGCAGCTCTTCTTGACAGGTCTTCAAAGTCAGGTTTAAGAGGAAAGTTATCTTTATGTGTGAGCATTGACGATGTGAAAATGACTGGGCATCAGTCTGCATCTGCACAAAAGAAGACAGTTTGGGCATCATTCTGTAAAAGGCCCTCTTTGTGGAAGAGTGGACAGAGACAGGGCACCACCCAAGGCTGTAACAGTAGTAGTGCCCAGCTGAGGCCAGTGAGGGAGCATTCCTGGCTGACCCACCAGAGAAGGAGGGGGTCTCAGCATCACATCCTTGCCTCACTCCTACCTCCTCTCAGGTTCTCTTTTCCTGAAAGCAAAGGAGCTTTCAGAGAACATGGAGCAGGACAGCAAAAAAAGACCCAAAAAGACAAGTCAGGTGTCTCCTGCACCCATACCCCCACTCCCAGCACAGAACCCACCAAAAAATTCCTCCCAAGTTGACTGACTGCCTATAGCTTGTGGGTTTTTTTTTTTCAAATATCATCTGTGAGGTATTTTTACCTGTACATTGACCCAGAAAGCCTCATTTTCTAGCAGCTAGAAAACTGACTCAGAAAAAGTGGAAGTAGAAAAGCTTGCCATCCTGTAGGATACGCTGATGTTTCTGTATGTTCCCTATTGAATTTATAGGCCACGGGAATGTAATTGGCCTGCAAAAAATATATTTTATTTTTGCAAATTCCTTTTTTCATCAGGTTTGGACACTCTGCAACTAAGTGGGTGAGCACATTACACATTGCTAGTGCCTGGATGTTTGACTCCAGCTTCTGTGTAGGCATTTAGGGCCACCTTTGTTTGGCATTCCTGTGCTCTAGTTTATGCTTTCAGAATCATAAAAGTCACCCAAGACAGGTTAGTTCTGTCAACAGTCCATGCATGAAGTGGTTAAGAAGCTAAAATTGAGGTACCCTAACTGTTCATTGTTAGCTGTGTGACCTTGGGCAAGTCCCTTGACCATTCTGGACCTCTATACCTCATCTGTGAAAGGGAGGCATAATTGGGTCCACCTCCTGGGGTTTCAGAGAGAGTTAGATGATGCCCTTAGCATGATGACTGGCATGCAGAGAGCAAGCTGTATATGGTGACTGTTATTAGTCTTGTCTTTTCCTTGCTATTTTCCTATCCTCCCCTCAACTGCTCTTAAATGCCTCCTTCCGAAGCCTCTGGGAAGGAGACCGTCGACTCACTTGGCTCATGTCCCTCCTCTTTCCTCCCATGTCAATTCAGGTCGTGAGCACATCCAATGCCTCACAAGCGGTCACCCTGGTTTACGTCGTGGGCAATCAGAGTGCCTTCCTCAACGGCACTGTGGCCAGCAGTCTCCTTAGCCAGCTCTCCGCTGAGCTGGTGGGGTTCTACCTCACCTACCCACCACTCACCATTGCAGAACGTAAGTACCTCTGCCTCATGTGTGGATCACACTTGTCCCCTGATGCCTTTCTCTTTTTAGACATCCGTGGTGCTGGGCCACATGCTGCTTCTGTTATCATAAAACAGCAGCTTTAATTGGCAGCACATTGGAGTGAGTTAATGAAAAGGTGATCACACAGCTGGCAGGATTCCTTCGCCCTTAATATGTCTTTTATCTCCTTAAATCCTCACAACCACCTTGTAAGAATTAGCACAGTTATGTGAAGACAGAAAAACTGGCGTGTCAAAAAGTTTTACAAGATACTCACTCAGGGGCTGGTGCTGTGACATAGCTGGTGAAGCCACTTCCTACAAAGCCTGCATCCCATATGGACACAGTTAAGGTCCTGGCTACCCCACTTGTGCTCCAGCTCCTTCCTTATGTGCCTGGGGAGAGCAACGGGTGATGGACTAAGTGCTTGGGCTCCTACACCCACATAGGTGACCTGGAAGAAGCTCCCAGCTCTTAGCTTCAGCCTGACCCAGCTCTGGCTGTTGCAACTATTTTATCCAGCAACAGACTCCATTTATCCAGCATTAGACTTCTCTCTGCCTCTCCTTATATGTATCTCTACCTTCCAAAGAAATTAATAAATAAACCTTGAAAATATATATATATATATACTTTCACATGACTAGTAACATGTGAAAGCTGGGGTTTAACCCCACATCTTCTGCCTTCTAAGCTTCCAGAACTGCCTGCTAGGGGGTCCGTCTTTGGGTTGCTATGGTTTTCTCCCACTTCTGCCATTAGCAAGTGTTCTCAGACCTTCTGCCCCTGCCCTGGCTGGAGATTTCATACAGCTCATTTGCAATCAACATTGTGACTTCCCTTAAGTCTGTGGCCTTGTCTTCCTCTAATGCCCCGGTTACATAAATCTCATCACCATGCAGGAGGCATAGACTTTAAAGACAATGCAGCCTACTTTTTGTGTCCAAACACTTACTTAATAGGCCAAGAAAGTGAAGGATTGTACCCTGAATTGTTCATATATTTCTGAGGTCATTGGGCAAGGATTCTTTTTATGTATTTGTGAAATTGGCTTATAATTTCTTCTTATGGTTGGTTTTGGTACTATAAATAAATGGAATGATATATGCAAATATAATTGGCACATAGTAGCTACTCATAATTTTTTAAAAACATTTTAAACTGTTTAAAGGCAAACTTCAACCAATATCCATACAGTATGAAAATAGGACTCCTGAGTTTATGGCAAGAATGACTTTGTGAAAGATGGCAGGATGTCATTTGGTAGTATGTGCGCATTAATTTTCTTCCATGATTTGACATTCAATAATAATGATCACAAGGGTTTATTGAGCACCAACTGTATGCCATGCACTGTAGTGAGCCTTGTGCACACATTAACATCAATAGTCACCAGACCTTTAGAAGCACTTAGCTATTGAACACCAAGTTCTTGACACTGGAGAAAACCACTCAGAAGCTAATCATCCCTAAAAATGTTAGTGATTGTGTTACAACTTTTAAATGGGAAGCTATAGCCAAGACAAATTACAGGTGGGAGAGAGAAAACCCACAAATTCTAGAAACCACTGAAAGTTAGCTGTTGACTAAATCTTAGTTTTCTGAGCAGCCAGAGTTTGTCCTGTGTAACAGAGAGTTCTCAAGAATGATAAGACAGAACTGTTTGTAATATGGCATGTGTCTGGTTTGTTTTAGCTCTGGAATATCCCAATCTTGATATATCAGAAACAACTAGAGACTACTGGGTCATCACAGGTAATCTTTTATTCTGTTATTTCCCCTCTTTGTGCTGGCTGGTGGCTCAATTTTTGTTTTGCAGCCTTGCAGTGGTAGGATTGGCACCTTTTTCTCTCTGTGTCTTGTAATTGGGGTGTGGGGGAGGGGGGTGTGGGGGTTTACCTCTTCAGGACCAGGAGTGGGTAGAGTAAGCTAAGCTAAAAAAGGGCATCACATGAAGAGTAAAGAAACCATCCAGCTTCCCTTAGAATCGCCATCCAGAAGCACTCCGAGGGGGGTGAGGGGGAGGACTTGATTGGCATTACAGTGTTAACCCATGCACATCCAGGACCTGCCCACATAACTGATCCTCTGCTCCTCGGGATCAGCACTTCTGTGCTGCCCTACAAATTCCCACTTAAAGCCGGGGAATGCTGGGCGTGCACTTGTCTCCCTCGCTGGCAGGAGTTCCACACCCACACAAGTCCTGGCGTGTCCTGACAGTGAAGGCGGATGGAAGTAGAAGGGTGTTTGGGTGGAGAATCTCCCTTTTTTTTCCCCCTTGACATTTTGCAGCCAAGCTGTATGAACCAGCAACAAAAGTTCTCATTTGAGTTTTCCAAAAGCCAGGCAGTAGTTCTGGAAATGAAACAAGGGTTGAACGCAAAGAAGGAAGATGTTTGTAGGAGGCCCAGGAACCAGCTCAGGAGAGAAAGAGAGGAGTGGTTGGAGAATTGTTGACTCTGCTGCAGCTCCCAAGACTAACTACCCCACAGAGCAGGTGCCTTACACAAATACCCATTTGCTTTCTTGCTGCTCTGGAAGCTGGAAGCCTGAGAACAAAGTGGCCTGGGGATGGCTTTTCCAGAAGGCCTCACTTCTTGTCTGGTAGATGGCTTTCTTCTCCCTTGTATCCGTGGTCTTCATCTGGGTGTGTCTCTTCTTAGAAGGCCAACAGTCCTATGGAATTAGGGCCTGCCATAATGGTCCGGTTTTGAACTTTGTTACCTGTTATAGACCCCCCATCTCCACATACAGTCACACTCTGAGATGCTGGGACTAGGTGTTAAGACTTAACTATGAATTTGGGTGTAGATGACTTGGCCCTTTATGAAGAGGGGAGTCAGGGATAATGTCACAGGTCCCAGAAGATGGACAGCATGCTGATGTCAAACCCCACTTCTTTCCTTTCCCATCTCCTCCCTCATCTGTTGGTCCAAAAACATAGTGGATGGGCCAACTGCCTAATATGTGGATAAGGAGCACAATTCCCTCCCTACTTGATGAAGCCTGCTCAGGACCACTTAAGTGGCAGAAAATTGCATCTCCTTTCCCCCATGCAGAGCCATAAATAGGCAGAATTTTTTTGTATCTGCTAAGAAGCAAACATATTGAAAATAACCACAGTCATAAAACAATCCACCAGAGTGTATACCCAGGAGAGAAACAGCGATAACCCAGCAGCAGAGTTTTGGAACCAGCAGGTTACATAACATTTACAAAATCATGTTTCCTTTTCAGAGGGTGGAGTTCAAACTGTGCTGATGTTTCTCCCCTTCTGTGAACTTTAAAGGTTACATTAAAGGTGACCACTTTAATATGGGCTGTGCTTGAGAGCCGTGTATGTCTTACCCTGCCTTGGTCTTAATGATATTTCCTTCAGAAAAAGCTAGCTACTTTGTCTCATATTGCATGCATTCCTGGTACTTACCTCACTGCCCATGGACTTAACACCATCATCACTGGTTACTGCTATTGGGGGTTGAGGCCCCCCTCTCTCCACTTGGGGCTCATTGGGTCAGTTGGTTAATGCTGGGGAAGGGCGGGAATTAGATGTCAGGGTGGACCTTTTGCCTTCTTTTTGCCCCATGAACTTCACCAACCTGCCCTGTCACTTACTGAACAGCCAGGGCATTGAGTACAGAGATAGTTCAGCCTTAACTTTCCGACATTCATCACAGGCTGTGGGTTGTTTTCCCATTGCTAAGACCAGGAGGATTTGAAACAAATCCCCTTTCTATGGTTTATGTGTTGTAGAACCCTGACAATGTTTTCCAGTGACATTTATATTGAATGTGGTTCTGCCCTCGGTGTACTTCTCTCCCAGAAAAAAGGCCCTCCCTGGTGGTTTAGAGTGACTGCTACAGGCCCACTGGACAGGGAAGCTGGAGCCACCCTGCCATGTAGTATCCTGTAGTCAGATTTGTATATGTGAGGAAAGAGAGAAACATACAGACTTAGTACTGCCCCATAGCAGTGAGAGCCCAGCTCGCGTTAAACCATCTTGAATCCATCCACCACACCTAGAAAGCAGCCTTGCCTCAGTTCTGCTGTTTTCTAACCTGCTGTGTCCTTGAGCAAGTTTCCCAGGCACTCCTGACTTCACACTGTCCCCTCTAGAGTCAGGGAAAGGTTCTCCTATTAATCCAGCACTGAGATTCTGGCAGCTCTGAATGTGTAGGAGGATTCAAGCACAAATAGAACAGCTTAGCCTGAGGACAGAAAGTTTAATCAGGCCTTCTTATTGAAACCTCAGAACCCAGTATGACTGTAAATAATCTCAAAGAATGTAAATAGATATTTAAGAACCAGTTGATGTATGGGTTTGAATATATGCATCAAATAGAAAATTTCTGTGGTAGATCATATGACAAACAGTACAGACAGAAGGAATAAGAGAGCAGCAATGAAAAACTAATTGAATCCTCTAGAGAAAGCTTTTTTGAACACAGCTAAGTTACTTCCAGGGGTAGCTCAGGGGGCAAGGCCAGGGCCCTGGATTCTGTGCTGAAGGACTCGGCAGCTTCTGAACCATGGAAGGGACATGGATGCATAGCTTGACCATCATCTTCCGGGTGGGCAGAGAGGCCCAAGGTACCCAAGGCCTGTGCACTACTCAGGCAAGGGAGCCGAGCATGTCCTGGACCTCATTACCACACTTCTCCTGTTTTTGCAAAGAAGTGGCAGCACTGACAGCTCCATCTATTGGCTGCCAGTCAGCACCTTATTGCCTGACCCCAAGAGGCATTTTTTAATTGAGTGATTTGTTCTTGACAAAGCATGATCAGGAGGAGGTGGGGAACTGATGCCCAGAGAAACTGAGCAACTTTTCCAAGAGGACACAGTCTGTGCCAGCCGGACTCAGTTCAGGGCCCTGCCTTGGACAAACACCACTGCAAACACCTGCAGTGACTCATGTGGGAGTTGTTCTATTCTTGATCTTCTCTGACCTCTGGGATGTTCCCATCACATCCACCTGTGCTCTCTTGGGGACACTTTTCTTCTCTACAAAAAGTGTTTTTATTTTAAAATCTCTTAGAACAATTCAGTTCTGTAAATTCTGCCAGCAATGTAGTGCTATGGTGACTACTACCCAAATCCAAAACTTTCTATCCCCTGGAAATTTTTGACTATTCTCTTTATATGATGTCTGCCTTTGCATCATTGTAGAGATTCCTATAAAACAACCTGTAATAATGCACCCCCCCCCTTGTCCAGTGACTGGAAGAGGCCAACTTAGAGGAAGCACTTTAGTGGTCTGGTCTGTAGTTTTCTTGGAGGGAGCATCCTGGAGCTAGCAGTATGCAGGCTTTCCTATCTGCAGCCAGAATGTTGGCCAGCCCTTCCCTTTGCTTGACATCTGTGTCATGAGGGTCCCAAGGATCCTGTCTGGCACGTGTCAGTGGGCAGAATGCTCTCATTTCTGTTTGCAGGAGCTCAGCTGACAAACGAGCCAGGAGTCCCTCACAAGGCCCCTGGGAAGAGCTGTTTTATGCCCTCCAGGAGGATCATTTGACGTTGATGGCTTCACAACAGTCATTTCAGAGACCCGATTATGGGTTTTATTTCTCTCTTGATCCATTTAAGTACTCTGTTCTGTATTGTACTGTCATCTACTATTTGATCTAGTCCCATGTTGGTTGCTCCATAGCCCCCTCCATGACTTGAACTCATTGGACATCTCCATGTCATGTCCACATCCTAGTAGATGAGTGGAATTAATGATCTGTGTTAGACTGTGATCGAACAAACTATTATAATCATAAAACCTTCCATCATGTTCCCAGCCCTGGTAAGGTTTAGTCTTATTAGCAAAATGAGACCTGTTTTTGGCATTTTTAATTTTAGATATGACAGTATATGAAGGCAGTGTTTGTACTTTTAGGCAAAAGTGTGATTTGCAAGGGATGTGGAACAAGCACTTGACTTTGGGGTGGACAAAAAAAGACAACTATCCCATAGAGACCAAAGGGGTGGGGGGGGGGGGGGGGGGGGGGTGGGGTAAAATATATAAGGGGGGTAAAGAAGGGGTAAGGGGTTTGGGGAAGGAAATAAAAGTTTTGGATATTTGGTTTTTAATAATATAAAAAATTTTTTTTTTATTGGGGGGGGGGGGGGGTTTTTTTTTTTGTGTTTTTTTTTTGTTTTGGGGGGGGGGTTGGGTGGGGTTTTTTATATGAATTTATAAAATGGATAGTTTGAAAAGATGTATAGTAAAGAAATTTGGAATGATAGTGTAAAGAGAATATGAGTTTTGTTTTGTTTTTGTGTATTGTAATGATAGGAATTAAGAGTTAGAGGGATAGGAGGAAATTTGGAGGTAGTGGGGTGTATATTGGAAGGTAATAATAGTGAGTGAAAAGGTAGTTAAATGGTTTGGAGAAAAGTAAAAGAGGATGGAAAGTAATCACGTAAAGGGTGTAATTTAGATGTGATAAAAATAAATTATAGAGAAATATTTGTATTAAATAAATATAGGGGAGGCACATTTAATGTGCTATTGATTGGCCGGGGGATGTAGATGTAGTGAGTACTATAAATGAATTGGAAAAGGAAAAACAACAGGGATAACGGCGAGGCTTGTATTAGGGGATTACCGACTGCTGGTATGGCTGCCGGCATAGTTAGGGGGTATTTAGGGGGGGTTTGTATGTGGTGTGTTATAGAGTGGGAATGATGTGAGAAAATTTTTTATTTGTGAAATTAAGGTGGTATGTTAAGGGAGTTGGTTAAAGAGTAGAGGAATGGTAGGGGGTAAGGTATATGGTAGGAAAGGGGATATGAGATATAAGGATGTTATGGAAGTTGGAAGAATTGTGTTAGTGTGGTTGATGGAATATGAGTATTTGTTGGGGAATGGGGGGACAGGGGGGTGTTGAGATGTGGGTGAGGGAATGAGAGGATAGTTTGAATAAGAGTATGAAGAGCGAAGTAGGGATGAAGAGGAGGAAGGTGTTCTGGAGATGGGGGAAGCTATTAATTGAGGAGACCGTGATGGGAGAGAAAGGGGCAATTAGTGATGTGGGAAACAACAGCAAGGCCGACGCTTTAAACGGGCCACCACCCTGGGAAGCTATACTGTGCAGGTAGGTGTGCACAGAGCCACGAGGGTTTTGGAATAGCTGTTGGGGAATGTGCTTCCTGAGACTGAATGAACCTGCTGCCGCACACTGCACACTGACTCAGCAGCTTCCATCAGTGCTGCTCAGAAGTTCTGGGATGTGGCATAACCATCCGAAATATGGAGGTGAGAGCTGGTTCTGCCACCTTTTCTATTTCATTAACAAGCTGGAGAGGTTGATTCAGAAATTCATGGGAAAATTATATTAGAAGATATGATTATTTTTGGTGCAAGAAAATTTTAAAATCCTTGCCTTGTTTTTCATGATACATATTCCTCATGAGCTTTCTTCATATGCATAGATTTCAAAAGTATTTTGCAATAAGATAATCTTATCCTTTAATGCCATTTTCCACAAACTCTTCAAAGCACTCTCCTACAAGAAAGGGAGGTCTCATAACATCTGCACACATGCAGATATTCACAAAACAGAAAGTTACTAGTAAATAAGCACAAACTAACCATTAACCTGCAAGTTCAAAGATGTGCCAGGCCTGTGTCTATTTAAGATTTCTCACTGCTATTACTATAGACAACAGATGCACCAGTATTCTAAATGAGGAATTGGCATCAACAAGCCGAGTCCATCCTTATAGTGGGCACATAACCAAACAGAAGTTTAGGTCAGGGAGGTGTAGCAGACATGAGTGATGCTTGATCCACATTCCTTACCATTTCTGTGTCTGCAAATGAGAACTCCAACACCATCCTCTGAATATTTGCTGGAAGGACTTCTGGGAGCATCAGGTGCACTGCTTTGCCATTCTGTGAAGGCTGGGAATGCCTGGGAATTCAAGAGCAATGGGGGTATGTTATTCTGTAATGAGTCGGGAGAGTAGAGAAATCTTCCACCTTCTTAGAATGTGTGAGGAAGATGTTAAGTATAACCTATCAAGAATATAACAGGTAACTTATAGACAGCAGACTCAAATCTGCATTAGACATTAGCAAAACTATAAAGACATACAGTGGGAATCAAGAGCAATTCTGACAGCCTCTTAACAGAAGATCATATGCACAGAGCAGGGGGAACCCAGAATGGAGCAGGAGAAAAGGAGGAGGCTTGTATCCCAACCCTGGAGACTCCCGGATCCTCATCTAAGATATCAGCATGGGCACCAAGGGCTATATCCCAACTGCCAAGGAGACCACTGGGAATTAGAGTGCCCTTGTAGGCCAAGAACTCTGAGGTCATCTATTCCCTTTCAGAACTCCCACATGGGATGGAAGAAGCCCAGGTCCTTTCTCACAGGATCTAATGTCAACAGAACAGCAGCCAGGAACCCTGAACAGTCCTCAGAAACAGAACAGTAAACTTCCTTTGGGACTCAGGAGAGGAGCTTTCTCTGGTCCTTACTTAGTTCCAACTTTGGATCCGCACACTCTCTTGCAATGACCATCAGGGTCACTCCAGAGTCCTTCCCCCACCCCCAAAAAATTAGATTAGATAGACAGAGACCAATAAGGAAAGCTTAGAAGAGACAGGAACTGGTCAGCTTGGACTCACATATATCTTACTAGGTAGGACACAAAGATTAATTTCTCCTCACTAAGGTATTGAAGATTTCTCTGAACACCCCTCCTAAAACTGTTCTGCGCCTCAATTGTTAACATATGCCTTGTTAGAGTTATAAGCCTGTTTGGACTATCCTAAAATTTGCCAAGTTCAGTAAAAATCATGCTTCAATACTATAAGCTGCTGAATATAAAAATTAAAATGGGCACCAGACAGCTAAATAGTACCCTATAACCATTTTAAGGTGTATAGCAGCTGGTTGTGTATTAACTAAACTTGAAATGTCAATGAAGTAGTCACAGGATGTGGTTAAGAACTTGCATTTTCTAACATATTGGTCACTCAATACCATGTCAATTAACTCCATAATGTTGTAAATTGTTGTTAATGTTATAAATTGTTGTTAATGTTGTAAATTGTTGTTAATGTTATGCTGTGGCTTGTCATTGGAGGGGATGATAATCTGCCAGCTCTACTTTCAGACCAGGGATGGTCTCCTAAGGAAACTGTTGAACTTATCTGGACAATAAGATGCTAGACTCTATGCATGGTACATGCTCGCAATGAGAGAATCATGACTGAATACGAACTGTACTACTGCAACAATGTGGAAGAATCCAGCATGGGGGGAGGACAAGCAGAGGGGTTGGGGGAATTCCAGAGCCTATGAAACTGTGTCATATAATACAATGTAATTAATTTAAAAAAATTAGAAAAAAAGAATACATGGACGATAAAAGTTTACATCTTCGTCCATCTAATAATACAGGTAATTTAATTTTTGTCTTTTTTTTTGGCAAACATTGATTCCAAGAAATCTTTGTAATGACGCTGATACACACACTCTTACATATTTCTATATTGGAAATATAATGTTTATGGTTCACTTTTGAAAAGTTGTTTGTTACTACAGGACAGAGTATAAATGCATTTTTGCATTCTGGTTTTGAAAAAAAAAAGCAAGGGGGGTGGCGCTTAATTCCCAAACTCCTGGTCTGTTGCCTAGAAGAGTTCTGGAATGTGTTGTATGAGCTCTGCCCAGGGTTTTCCCACAGTTAAATTTCAGTGACCACACCCTGTCGTTGCTAGTTTTACCGTGCTCCTCTTCGTTGGCTCTTTTCTCGTGCCTGTGTCACCTCCTTGTCCATTGTGTGCATTGTTTTGGGTCTAGAAGTCTTTGTGGTCTGTGATGACCTTACCACAAGGTAAAGTCGTGTATAAGAGGTATGATTTCCCCTGTGTAGGTTTCATGTGAGCCTGAAATCCACACTTCTCCACACACAGAATGGAAGTTATTGTTACTCAGACTGTGAAATGGGATTAGCCTCAGCCAAAGGAGGGAAAGGGACCATCCCATAATCCATGTGTCCTTTGTAAACTTCAGCAGCCTGACCGGTTCCACGTGGCTTGAGGGCTCAGAGGGCTGTCCTATCACTTTCCTTGGAAGTGCTCAGTGCACTTGAACTCTGAAAAACTTGGGAGAAGAGTGAAGCAAATGGGGATTGATTTCTTCAAAACCCTGATTTACAGGAGCTGTGAATCACATTGTAACATTACCCTTGGAGAAATCTTCTTAAGACTTTGATATTAAATTTAAATTGAGCCAAATTAGTAGGTATTTGAGTGATCAGGCACCTGTATCTTGTACTAGCACCTAATGTCCCATTCCTTCCCACTAGGGAAAGGAATCACGTGTTCAATCATCCAACACCCAAAAGCAGAAAAATGAACTCTACTTCACCTATATTCTTCATCACCCAGAGCCCTTTCTTCTGGATTCAGGTCGTTTAAAAAATATAACCTTCATGAATATGGAGATTTAGTCCAGATTCTAAAGATGTTTCTCTAGTTGATATGTTAGAGAAGTTGAGTCCTAAGAAGAAATAGCTATGATCCGTAAGCATTTTAAGTGCTTCCCTCCATTTATAACCAAACTAACACGAGTTTTTGTTATCTCAAGATGCCATTAAAGATTAGTAAGTTACTATTCTCCGGTGTTGGTGTGGGTGACTGCACATAATGAGATATGTTTAAACAGAGTAACTAGTTATATGGCCTTTGTGGAGGGTAAGTGATTAATTTAGACAAAAACATTTAGGCAATGTTATGGTTTGCGTGTTAATTTGGGTATCCCAACAGGCCCATGTGTTCAAGAATTGGTCCTGTGGTCCCCCAATGAAACTGTTGAGTTTATCTGGACAATGAGATGTTGAACTCTCCACATGGTCCATACCTGCAATGGAGAAATCATGACAGAATATGATCTGCACTACTATTGAATATGGGGGAATTCAGTATGGGGGAAGGGCTTGGGAAGGGGCTGGGGGAATCCCAGAGTCTATGAAACTGTGTCATAAAATGATATAAAATTTAAAAAATAAGTTATACATATCCTTAAAAAAAAAAGAATATGTCCTGAAGCCCTATATGTCACTAAGAGGATAAAAACTCTCTAGTATATGAGGGATGTTGCTTTTCAGGAAGTAATTAGGTTGGACAGCATTATCCGAGTGGAGCTCCCATGATTGAAGGAGAGACAGAGACACATGTGCTGCCCCTGCCATGTGATAGTCTGTGCCAACTCAGGACTCTGCCAGCAGAAACAGCATCCCCACTAGCTCAACCGCCAGCACTGCCTGTGGGCAAATGGTAGATCTCCAAACATGTGAGCTGCAGCCAGCCTCCTTCCTTCACAAATGGCTTGTGTTTGGTATTTCACCGCAGAAAGGAAAAGTGGACCAACAGAGCGGTCACAAACTGAGTGCTGGGATTCTGTCTAGAAAACAACTGGCTGAGGGCCGTGTTTTCCTGAGTGTCAAGAAAATGATCCTAAGGTGGAGAGAGTCTGATCAAATGAGTTTGAACAGAGCTATCTGCTATAGGCACTTCTGGAAGATCCTCAAAGTATATTTGCATGCAACAGCCCTAACTAGACCTGACGTGAAGACGTACTTCGATTGTGTTCAACGTGCTAACTTCCAATGTGATCATTAAGAATACTTTTTAAAAATAATAGCTATGGGGCCCGGCGCAATGGCGCAGTGGTTAAGGTCCTCGCCTTGCTCGCCCGGGATCCCATATGGTCACCGGTTCTAATCCCGGCGGCCCTGCTTCCCATCCAGCTCCCTGCTTGTGGCCCAGGAAGGCAGTCAAGGACGGCCCAAAGCTTTGGGACCCTGCACCCGTGTGGGAGACCCGGAAGAGGTTCCTGGTTCCTGGCTTTGGATCGGCAAAGCATCGGCCGTTGCACTCACTTGGGGAGTGAATCATCAGACGGAAGATCTTCCTCTCTGTCTCTCCTCTCTGTATATCCGCCTTTCCAATAAAAATAAAATAAATCTTTAAAAAGAAGAATAGCTACATTGTGTTTTATTTTGAACATTTTGAAACTCAAAAAAATGGAAAGTGTATAGTGAATACCCACATCCTAATTATATAGATCCTACAATTAGCTGTGTTTATATTATATATTCAATAATAGCTATCACTTTGTACACTTTCAATATCATGCATGCCCATATACTTTCAAATCTATATTTGGTTTTCAAGTTCTAGCACTTCAGAGAGAGTCCCACAGTACATGGTCTTATATGAAGCCTTTTGACTCCCTACCATATGGTGTTTTTGAGATTCATATTTGTTGCACTATTCGGTATTTCAGTTTCATTTCTGGATAATGTTAATAATTTTTCTCATGAGATAGTACTGTAGTTTGTTCATCCATCTTCTATTGATGGACTCCTACATTTTCCCCCTGTTTGTGGCAACTGCATTAAGGCTTTTGTCCACAACTTCTGTTTTAAATGTGGCCATGTACGTTCATTTCTCTGGGCTACGTGGGAATGGAGTTGCTGGCTTCACAGGGTTGGTGAGTGTTCTGTAAGAAACACAAAACTTTTTAGAAAGGCATTGTACCATCTTGCAATCCAACAGCCAGCCATGCTGCTCTAGTTCCTCCCCATCCTCTCTAAGCCCTCACAAGCTGGAAGGTCAGATCCCTGTCCCTCCTGTCTCCCCAGCATTGTTCTCCCTGACGATTCTGCCTTCCTCCCCGGAACTGAACACGATCCTGAATTTTGTATTAACTCATTCATTCCTGTATTTCTTGTCTAGATTTCACCATCCATGTACGTATTTCTAAATCATGTGCCATGTAGTTTTGTCTATTTTTAAATTTTATGCTCTGTGATTTGTATGTTTTGCTTAATAACAGCCTTATATATTCAGCTATATTGATATAAATAACCTAGTTCATTCACTTGTACTTCTGTATAGTATTTCATTAGGTCATTATGTAATAACTCATTTACATATTTACCTAGTCTCCTATTCATGTATTTTGAATTTTCAGGCTCTTTTTTTAAACTATTTTGAATGGTATTACTATAAATTTTTGGGTGATATTTTTAAAATCATAGTTTATAATATGTACTTAGAAAATATCACATCCTAATTATGTAGATTCTATAATTAGCATTATGCTGTGTTTATACTATATATTTGGTCATAGGTATCATTTCCCTACACTTTCAATAACATGCATATCAATATGCTTCCAAATCTATATTTGATTTTCAAATTCTAGCACTTCAGAGAGAGCCCCACAGTACATTGTCTTTTTTTTAAAAAAAAGATTTATTTTATTTTTATTGGAAAGGCGGATATACAGAGAGGAGAGACAGAGAGGAAGATCTTCCGTCTGATGATTCACTCCCCAAGTGAGTGCAACGGCCAATGCTTTGCTGATCCAAAGCCAGGAATCAGGAACCTCTTCCGGGTCTCCCACACGGTTGCAGAGTCCCCAAGCTTTGGGCCGTCCTCGACTGCTTTCCCGGGCCACAGGCAGGGAGCTGGATGGGAAGTGGGGCTGCCGGGGTTAGAACCGGTGACCATATGTGATCCCGCCACGTTCAAGGCGAGGATTTTAGCTATTAGGCCATGCTGCCAGGCCTAGTACGTGGTCTTAGATGAAGCATTTTGACTCCCTATTATATGGTGTTTGTGTTTTGGGAAGTATATATTTCAAACATACATTATTAGCAATTCTTCATTATAATAGAAACTAATTGATTACTTAAATGTTCGATAATAAAGGGTTAGTTAAGTTTACCAGGTATTCCCTCGCTAGAATATTATGTCAATATTGAAATTTATGTTTTAGCATATGATTATTAACTGTTGAAATTGCAATAATGAAAAATTAGAAGCAGCCTAAAAGGTCAACAATAAAGATTTCGCTAACTATGCTTAATAGGCATTGGAATGTCAAGCTGCAATTAGCATTCATGCTTTTGTTACATTTAAATAAAAATACCAAGCTATGATACTCATAGAATATGATAAATAACTTTGCATAACAGGAAGTTATATGAACAAGACTCCAGAGTGGCACTAGTAATTAACTTCAGTTAAGAGGAGTGCAAATGGTTTTTATTTTATTGTTTTTTATTTATTGTGTTTCTTGATGATCTTCCATATCTTCAGGTTGTCCTGTAGTAAATATGGAAAATTTTTTCCATGAAAAAGAACAAAAATGTTCCTTTAGAGAAGGAACTTAGAGCTTTTATCAGCAGTCTGGTGAATTTTAGATGTGGAAGGTACTGTTTTCCCCTTTCTCGCAATTCTAGGAAATTGACATTAGAAATCTTGCCTGAGAATAACCTGATGTGCCCTGAATTAACGTGGAGACCTATTTTCAAATGAGGCCAGAGGTCTGGGGACACGCCACTATTCCGTATTCTCTTTCCTAACCTCACAGTGCTCTTGCACAGATGCTCATATTTTTCAGGACCTGGTTTCTCCTCCCAGTCTCCCGCTGCAGCCACAGTAGGCACCTAAGAGGCTGGCTGCGCGGGGAGGGACCAGCAGAGGCGCTGCGCGTTGGCTGGGCGACCTGGGCCGCCAGCAGTCGGGAGAGGCGAGCCTGCTGATGGCCTGGGGGTGGTGGACTCCTGCAAGATGCCCCCACAAACATCTGGCCTCTCTTTCTCTAAAAGATGGTGAAGATGCAGCGTGTGCCAGGACCCAAGGACCCAGCGGAGCTGACCTACTACACGTTGTACAACGGGAAGCCTCTGCTGGGCACCGCGGCCGCCAAGATCCTCAGCACCATTGACTCCCAAAGGATGGCCTTGACCCTGCATCACGTTGTCCTTCTGCAAGCTGACCGTAAGGGGCCAGTCTTTTTCCTCAGTGTCTTTTATTTGTGCTGAAAAGTGTTGCTTAATTCCCCAGACTCAGAGCTGAGCACCTGCTGTTGTGGATGGTCCTGCAGTCCATCAGCTCGTGGTGTGTTGTGTGATGCAGTGAATGGATTTTGTCTAAGGGAGGTGTTTGGAAATCAGAATGGTGGTTATGAAACTGCTGTGCCCGCAGGTCCTACTGCTTTTCCTTCACTGTGGAATTTAGTGAGCACCTGTGAAAAGTCATATGGATTTTCTGGGGGTGTAAGGATCACTTGGTGGCCCAGACATTGATTGGGTGCTAAGTGAGCTGAGCTTAGGGTTAAGGATATACAGAAGTGAGCAAGAGCTGGTTCTTGCCTCCTAGGAGCCACAGAGTCAGTTCAGCTGCAATGGATACATCTAGAAAGGGGCTATGGGGAGGCAAGGTGACCCAGGCGCCAGCAGAGGGAGGGTGTGCCTGGTAAATGGAAACTGAATAGCTCCCCTGTGGCAGTTGCTTTTCCCGTTACCTCACCTCTATTTTCCCACTCTCCCCTCTCATTGGGCAACATTTACTCATATCCAAATGATATAAGAGAAGCTGAGGCCGTGAAGCATCCCATCAGTAATCTGCTTGGCATCATAGGCTAAGTCCACAAGGAAGGAAGCATGTCTTTGGATCTGATCTCAAGCCTGAGTTCCAGAAAGAGAGAGCAGGTGTTCCAGAAAGAATGGAAGGGAGAAGTACCAGGTGAGCTGGGAAAACAAGTTCAAATTGTCTGTTGGGAGGTATAGAAGGTTTAGAAAGGGGCATTGCCTTGTAGACTCGACCTGGCATGGTGGAGGAAGAATTGATACCAAGTCAAGCTAGCAGGAGAGATAGTGCATATCCCCAAGCAGAGGAATGCAATTCTGGGGACTGCCTCTGATTTGGAGAGAATGGTTGGTCAGCAGTGTCTGAAAGAGAATGGAGGAGGCAGGACCGGTATGGAATCTCTGTAGTATCCTAGGCATTGGGAACCCAAACAAGAGCTATAAAGAAAGTGAGAAGAGGAGAAGGGATGAAGTTGGAGGTTGTGCTTTGGAAACTATAGTGTTTGGCAGTACAATGACCATCGAGAGGCATGGAAGGACATCTCCATGGAACTCCTAGTTGGTGTTCATGAACCTTACAGATCTAACATTTGGGATGGTCACATGGCCTATTGGCTAGACACCAGGTAGGATTTCTGCATCCCACACCAGTTGCACCTGCCTTCAATACATGCCTCCTGACTCCAGCTTCCTGCTAATGCAGGCTCTGGGAGGCAGCAGAGATTAGGCACCACACACCCTTGCGGGAGGCCTGTGAATCCTAGTCATTGTGGGTATTTGAGGAGTGATCCGGTCAATGGGATCTTTCTCCCCTGTAACTGTCCGTCTCTGACTCTCTCTCTGCCTCTTAGGTATGGGGGTGGGGAAGGATCCAACCCCCAAGCTCATGTCTTTTCTCTGCTCTTCACCCTTTTACCTCCATCAAGGATGACTTCTCTCTCCAGGATGATGGTCCAAACCATGTGTTGCCATACCTAGGCAGCATGTCCTACAGGCACACCTTTGTCTAGGAGTGCAGGTGTCACTCAGGAATTTTGGACTTAGAGTGATGTTTTCAACCCATATTCTCTTCCTCTGCTCTTCTCCCATTGTGGGCTTCATCTGTTTTGTTCTGTCCTCTCTATAGGGATTCCCCGGCATTGCAGGTATCCACAAAAGAGGTGAAAGTCCTGGATAGATACAAAGATTTAGAGAATAGGTGAACTTGAGATATTATTTGAGGCATTGCTAATAGAGCAAGATAATGGATTCTGTACAGAGTAGAGGAAGGTGAATTAAGGATGACTCCCATATGCTGGTTCATGCTCTGGCTGAGAAATCATTTGTGAAGACGCAGAAGATGCAAGACAGAAAGATTTAGGGGCTGGGAAGGAAGTGGAGGTGATAATGATGAGAATTTGGTTTAGGTGTCGTAAAGCTCAGCAGACATGAACTTGGGAATCATCAATATGTTGATGATTCCCAAGAGCTTGGAGTAGGGGAGAATAACCAAGAGCAGAATCCAGCATCGGCTCCAGAGGAGACCAAAGCTGATGAGCTGCGGGGACACTTTTAAAAGTGAGAGTCTGGGTAGTGGGGTATGGCTTGGAGGCTCTCAACTGGGACTCAGAAAGCTGGCCTTCAGACCCTGTTCTGCCTGGCTCACGGCTGCTACCCTGGGAGACTCATGATGACTTTACCCTTTGTTATCTGCAGATGCTCCTGGTTCCCATCCACAATAACTCACACACCTGCTTCCTCTGCTCCATTCCAGCATCCCCTGCTACCCGGACCAGCACAGTAGCTTCCAAAATCTCAGCTTTAGTCCTCTCCCAGTAAGGTTCTTTCCAGGTTGTCATCAGCATCATTGTAACAGACGAGGATTCTGACCTGACTTCTCCTCCAATGGAAAGAGTGTTGGGCGGCTCTCTGTTGTTTACAGAAGATCCACATTCCTGAAAGTGGATCTTTACAACAGATACTCATTGCATGTTCCAGCCTTATCACGATCTGCTCTGGGCTACTTTACAGCCATGCCAACTGCTTGTCTCTCCTGTGTGTCTGATGCTTCAACAACACAGCATTCTTCACATACCCTGACCCCTGCAGCCTCCCCTAACCCAGGGATGCAGCCCTCCATCTCCCTTTGTTCTAGAGGGCTTCCATGGCCCTTGTCACATTGTGCAATCCTGAGTTGTGGCTTTCACTTCTCTCTGACATAAGCTCTTTAAAAGCAGATAGTATGATACCTTCATCTTAGCATGTCCAATCCTAGTTATTTCCTGACTCTAGTCTTATGAAGGTCACAGACCCTTCCTTTCCCTACTGCCTCTGCCAGGCCCTGACAGATGCTGAAGTTTAGAAGATGCTGTGGCAGAGCAATGAATGGCAGAGCTTCTTCAGTAGAGCAGACCTGGCTTCACATCCTTGCTTCTCCCCTTTCTGGCTCCAGAGCTTGGAATCAAAGTAATGAACTTCCCTGGCCTTCATTTTTGTTATCTATAAAACAAATAGCATTTAAAAAAAAATACCTTGCTAGCAGAATGACTCAGAGGGTGAAGAGGGTGAAGGTTAAGTGTTGTCTGTAAAGGGCTTGGTTGAATGCTGGGACAGCCAGGAAGCTCTAAGTAATGGAAGCCAAGGGTCTCCTTTTCTCTTAAGGAACAGGACTTGAGTGAAGGAAGAATGAACAGAGACTGGAAGGTTAGGAGCCCATGCAGTCCAGAGGCCAAACTGCTGTTGATGGGAATAAAAAAGGGGATTGGAGAAGAGAAACCATTTTGAGGTAGACGTAATTCATTGTTAGGCCATGTTGAGTTTAAGAAGATGATGATATAACAAAGGACACCAATGGGATAAGGAAGAGTGTGGTTGGGCTTTCAAGCATGCTAATAGGTCATCCTGTCAAGGTTAGGAACACTCTTTAGAATTCAAGTCCAGCTCTCAGAAGAGATTCAGGTCAACACTGTAGATCTTCATTCATATGCAGGTGCAGGTTAGCATTAAAGTCCCAGAACCAGAGTCTCTGCCTTTATTCATGATATAACCCTAGAAAGAAATTAATATTTCCCCTTACCCACATCAATATAAAGTTGATACTGGAAGAAAATATATGGTGACCCCTTGGTGGTTCATATTTTCAGTAGGTGTGTATGAAGCTATCATCCGCTTTCCCTGTATTTCTTAAAATTTAGATAGTTAAAACACACACACAGAGTCAGTTTTCAGTTGCTATAAGTAAGAGGGTTTCTTTTGCTGTTTTTTGGTTGTCTTTTTTTAAAAACCTGCATCTCTTAAATACACCATTGTTTGCAACACTCCTGGCCTTAACCACTGATGAGTCTGGGAGTGTCACTTGAGAAGGGAAAAGCAAGAGGACACATTGGGAAGTACCTCCATCCCTGGGAGCAAAGAAGGTCAATGAAGGAGAAGAGCTGAGGTTTTCCAAATCCCATTTTCTCTTAGTAGTTTTGAAAGTGACTTGTGCTATTCATCTGAAGTCAGAGCTTGGCACAGAGAGTCACAGGGATGAACGTTTTGCTCCCCTGAAAGGAGAAGGATCACATTCTGTGTGTCCTGAGGGCTTCTCAATGGCTAATTCTAGGGCCCTGAGTGGCCAAGAGTCATGCCCACTTGATCCTCAGCATCTCTGCGAGCTGGAGCAGCACCTGACTTCTAAAACAGCATCTGCATTTCTGGAGGAGGTTGCATCTGCTGTGTTTGCAGGGTCTGAGGCGGGGGGCTCTTCAGTGTAGTTTCCCAGCTGCTGGAATGAGCAGGGAATGGGTCTCCTACAAGGAAACAGACTCAAGCAGGATGTGCCTTATCTTACAAGGCCATTGGACATTACTCTGAAAAGATGCCACCTGAAGAAAATGAAAGACTGCCCCATTGGGGACAAGGACTCATGGTCATTCAAGCCTTCTGTAGACAGTGTGTTTTAAACTGTTGAGGGTGGGCAATTAAGAAGAGAACTGAGTCCTCACCTGCTGCTGGCCCAGGGGGTCTCTCCACTGTGTCCACTCACCAGTTGCAGGCTCAGCTTCTTGAGACAGAGAGATAACCCCCAAGATGAGCTAGAAATGTTCTTTTTTTCTTTTATTTGAGAAGTACAGAGGCAGAGGGAGCTCCCATCTGCTCATTCACTCCCCAGATGTTGTCAAAAGCCAGGACTGGGCCAAAGCTGAAGCCAGGAACTTGAAACTCAATGCAGATCTCCCGTGTGTGAACAGGGACCCAACTATCTGAGCCATTGCCACTGTCTCCCATAGTCAGTATAAGTAAGATGCTGGAACTTGGACTTGAATCCTAGCATGCTGATGGAGAATGTAGGCATCTCAGCCATTAGGCTAGATGCTCACTCCTTGAAAAACATGTCTGAATGAATTCCTTTGCCTTCATTCCCTCTGACAGATACGTGTGTGTGTGTTGGGTGGCAGTGGTCAGGGCAGGGCTGTGCATACACAGAAGCACACACTCCCATCTGTGTGTGCTGTTTGTGTCGTGGTTTATTTCAGAAAAATAATTTCGTAAAAATGGCTAACCTCCCTGAGGTTCTGAAAACTGGGCAGATAAAGCTCCCATAGGCAAAGGGCCTTTCACAGTAGGTACTCAGAACATCCGTCCTGCACTGAAACTCTTGCAATTTAAACAGCCACTTGTTCCTTTTCCCCTCTGTACATGACATTGGCCTTTTAGATCATTGTGCCAATGAGTATATTGGGTTTGGATGACTTTAGTTGACCTGACTTGAATGTTGTTTGGACCATTAACATGAATTATTAATGTGCGTAAGATAAATCTAGTCTCTCCTTATTGCAATAGAGGTGAAAGAATTTTACCTGCTGCATCAAGAAGAAACACACCCACCAAAGCAATGAGCCGGAGTGAAAGCAGAGCACTTGAACATCTTAGTCTTGCTAATGAAATATGTGCATACTGATGTACTTGCAGATACGCTTTACATTTTTCTCCCTCAGAATAGAATAGCCCAGCCAAAAGAGGCATATTGAAATTTCCCTCAGAAGCTTTGAAAAATGTTAATGGCACAAAACTCATATAAATACCGAATTACTAAAAGCAGTAGCAATTATGTGTTTAATGTCAACAGAAGCACATTACCTAATGAGCTGTTTTCAGGAGTTAATAACATGATTAATCATGGATTGATAAAACTGGTGGGGAGAAAAGCACTTTTATACTAATGGTATCCTGGGCTCCAGGGCAGCCAGGGATAGGCAGATCATTGGCTGAGGGTCCACTTGAAGTTGGAGATGGTTGAAGTCAGAGAGGAAGGCTGGCTGGATAGGCAGGTCCTTTGTGTGTGGCATCTTGCAATAGGCTAACAGGCCAGAGCAATGATGAGGAGGCCAGGGAGGGGCAGATGGGTTAGGGTTTGTACAGATGGTGAGGACTTGGGTTCTTACTGTTGGCATGGCAGAAGCTCAGAAGCATTTTGAAGTGTGAGTTTTGCCAAGCACACCCTGGCTGCTATGCTGTGACTGGGCCACCAGGGCCATGAGCAGCGTTTTGGGGCAGGGAGGCACTGTGAAGATGAAGGTGGGTAAGAGGTGTTGGTAGCTTGATGGAGCTGGTGACAGCTTGCTGGTGCGCCAGACACAGGGTGAGCGGGAGAAAGATCATCCTCTTATTAAGCCTGGAGTGTCCCCAAGCTTCCCAGCCGGCTCTCATCGGGGAGCCCCATGTACTCAGCTGCCTTCCTTCTTCCTCTTAGTCATAGCGGAGATTGGCGTTAATTGAGCACCTTCTGGGGACCACACTGAGACACCACTTGGTGATGGCCTCTTCTTTACAGAGGGGGAGACTAAGGTGACCTGCCGATAGTCACATAAAAATAGAAAAAAAGTTTTCTGGCCTGGAACCGCTGTACCCTCTCATCTCTCAGTTGGGGCAGGAGGGGTGTGTCTTAGTCATTTTCCTCTTCCCTAGTGCTCCGTGTCAACTGCCCCTCTCTGGCTCTTTCTCACAGCCGTGGTGAAGAACCCGCCCAACAACCTGTGGATCATCGCTGCGGTGCTGGCGCCCATCGCTGTGGTCACGGTCATCATTATCATCATCACCGCCGTGCTCTGCAGGAAGAACAAGAACGACTTCAAGGCAGACACCATGATCAACCTGCCTCAGAGAGCCAAGGTGTGTGCAAGCAGTGGGGAGGGCTGGGGCCCTGAAAACATCCTCCAGGTCCTCATTGAGAGAAGCGGTCTATTCCTCTTACGATCAGGTCAGGAGAGCTAGGCCTGTCTGATGCTCTTACTTTGCCCTCAAGTGCTCCCAAGTCTTCACAGGAGGCAACTGCCTAATCCATCCCTGAGAGGAAGCTCTGGGATTTTACAGATGAGAAAACAGAGGCACAGAAGATGAGGGTTAGATGGGCTTGTAGGAAAAGTAATTCCTCCACAATCCCACAGTTCTAAGTAGCAGAAGTGATGGTGGGACCAGGGCTGCTACAGTCAGCATGTTTGTGTTCTCTGGATTCCTACGTTGGGATTTGAACCCAGAGAGTGATAGTATGTGCAGGTGGGGCCTTGGCAGGGTTAACAAGATCATCCTGGTGGAGATCTCAGGAATAGGATCTGTGCCCTTAGGAAAGAGACCCTAGAGAGCTCCCTAGCTCTGAGGTAGGGGAGGAAACAGCAGCCACAGCCTGAGAGAGACCCCAGCCAGGGTGGCCAATGAGTCTGGGGCTCTCAGCTGCTAGGCCGAGGAAGCGCATGTTCCTACTGTCTATAAGCCGCTCTGTCCGTGGGAGTTTCAGTAGAGCAGCCCAACCTGGTTTAGACACAGTGTCTCGGCTCTGCGAAAGACACTGCCTGCAGGCAGTCCTCTCTCAAGGCCATCGTGATGGACAAACCACACACCCATGGCTGGAAGCTCATCAAACTCAAGGTCAGTGGCTCCCCCAACACCAGACATGGAGCCCAGTCCTCTGCCTGTGCCCTGATAACTCTACCTCAGGTGACTGGGCAGGAACTCCTGAAAGCTGGTTTTCCAGTCATGTAGCATGACTTCAGTGATCTTCCCTCAGGGAAATAGACATGCTGTGATTCCCAGTGTTTAAATAATGCCTCACAATCTGTTGGGCTCAAGAGGTCTGGCGCCTCATTTGTTCATCACAGCAAGCCCTGGGAGGTAGGTTGTGGTCAGGGCAAGTTTCATTATCCTCATTTTGCATTGAACAGTCCTCAGGGAGAGACATCTTGGGATTTGTCCAAAGTCACAGAAGCAACAGCAGGGGGTTGCCCAAGGCCCACATCAGAGTGAGCACCTTCTGAATCCTGCAGTGTGGCAGGTTGAATTCTCCACCAGCTCTGTGCAGCTCTTGCACATTCTCCATCCATCTATGCAGGAGTGAAATAGCAAATTACAACTCCCACGCACTTCCCACGCCCTGGAATGCATGGGGGCCACAGAGACTGCTTTTGCTGTCTTGGTTCTTGATAGAACACCTTCCTTCAACAGAGAACTCAATGGATTTGTACTGCTTATTAAATCTGTGCACCTGCCTGGAGCCACAGCTTGACTAGACATTGTCTACTGAAAAAAACAAATCCCAAAGAACATTGCTCTGTTTCTGTTGACACTAAGGCACCTGCTCCCACACACAACAAGATGTTGGTTCCAAGAAGGGTGGGTGGGAAGTGGTCCAAGTAGTGAGAGGGGAGACCATTTCCAGAAGGCATCGTGTTTCCATCTCAGCTTAGTTTCAACATGAGCCTTTCAGACTTAACAAAGTACCACACTGTGATGGCAGCCCAGTCTGGGAATGTCACACGGGCCATACTGAGGTTGCCAGGAGCATGTCAGTGTTGTAGATGAAAGCCAAATTTCATTTATCTGCTAAGAGGCATGGGAAAGCACCTGTTTCAGTAGACCTGGCTTGAAAACTGCCTGAAGCTGCAACAGATGAATGCTGGTGATTGTTGCTCCCCTACCTGGTGCACTGTGCTTTGTGGAATTTCCTGGTTGATGTTGGAGATCAAGCACATTTATGTTCTGTGAGATGATTGGTATCATTTGCATGTGGTGACACTAATTGCTTTTCCCTTCCTTGAGGCTGGACTGCCCACTTTAATTTCCAAAACTCCTTTATCACAGGAAACCAGCAGGGTAGAACTGTCAGTCTCTTACCATGGTGCTTCTGCCGTTGCATCCCAGGGACACTGCAGGGTCCAGGAGAAGAGAAGGCCACCAGCGTCACTTTTCGAAGCCTGGCATGTTTGAGCAGAATTTGATAAATGCTGAGGGATGAGGCAGAATGAGAGAGTTAGCCAGCACTACCAGTCTCTAGGCTAGGAAGGTGGTCCCAGGGCCATAGCTGTGTCTTTAGAATGTAGGCTACAGTGCCACAGGACCATCCTGGGGGACCTTTGTGAGACTCAACTACAAACTTAGCATGCTAAGCACAGGAGGAAAATTTGGCTTTCCTGGGAACTAAGGTTAAGGTGTGGACACCTGCACCCTTGTTTAGAGGGTATGTCGTAATGTGTTAGAGGGCTTGGGAATCACTAGTGTATGTTCAATGGAACTACACTAATCCCAGGTCATTTTCAAGTTGAAGGTTGAAAGACTGCTCCCCTAGAGTAAGTGGCTAGTTTTGAGTCTTTTACTCCTTACCTGTGTGATCTAGGGCAAGTCACTGAACTCTGAGTCTTCACTTTCTGACTTCTAAAGGAAATAGAGTGATGTTTGCCCTGATTCCCTCAAGGGCTTCCTGTGAAGCTAATATTAGGTGTCAATGTTTTCTGCCCTAAGTACCACATACACACAGGTTCTTGAGATCAACCTATTAAACTTATCCTTTTAATAACATGTTTTATTATTTATTTGAAAGGGAACCCCTGCTGTTCACTCCCCAAATGACCACAACAGCCAGGGGCTGGGCAAGCTGAAGCCAGGAGCCAGGATCTCTATCTGGGTCTCCCAAGTGGGTTTCAGGGGCTCAGATCCCTTAGACATCCTCTGCTGACTTCCCAGGCACATTATCAGGTAGCTGGATTGGAAGTGGGCAGCCACACTCAAACTGGTACTCCAACATGGGATGCCAGCATCATAATCGGTGGTTTAATGTACTGTGCCACAGTGCCGCCCTCAAATTTGGGGTTTTTTTTTTTAAGATTTGTTTGAAAGTTAGAGTTTAAGGGGAATGGCCTTCTGTCTTCTAGTTCACTCCCAAAGTGGCCCCAAAGGCTAGGGCAGAGCCAGGCTAAAGCCAAGGGCTTTATCCAGATCTCCATAGGTCATCCTCTGCTGCTTCTTCCAGGTCATTTGAAGAGAGCTGGATAGGAAATGAAGCTGCTGGGACACAAATGGATGGCCGTACTGGATGCCAGTGCCATAGGCAGTGGCCCCAGTTTTACTTGCTAGGCCCCCAACACTGGCCCCAGCTTGTTATTTCTTAATGTCTCTGTGCATACCCATCATGGAGTCAGCCACTTAAAGTATCCAGTGGATAATTTCAACCCAGGGTGAAGGGTGAGGGGTCAGATCCAGTGAGAGTGGGGATGCAAGTCAGCTGGTCCCCATCATTAGGGCCCTGGGCAGTCTTAGCTATGATTGGAGGCTCGCAGTCCTCACAGGCCAGCCAGGCTTCTCAACACACAAGCCAGGACAACCTTGGTAGGAGAAGCCCAACCAAGGTGACAACTGTAGAAGGAAAGGAGGCCCTGTTGGATGAATCACCTAAGCAGTGCTCCGGGTCCCACAGTGCTGGCTTCCGATGCTGGCTGCACCCCAAACCAGTTATGTGAGCCCAAGAAAATTGCTTAACCTCTCTAAATCAGTTTCTTCATTAGTCAAATGGAGATTCATAATAATGCCCTCTGCCTTGAACTACAGCAAGGCTGCAGTGACATAATTTAGGTAGTGTGCTTAGTACTATACTAGTAACATTAAGTGAGGCTGAAACAGGGAACTCCTCAATTGTCCCGTCCAGCAGGACAGTCAACGGGGGTCACAACCAACCTAGGAGAGAATGAAGGGACAAGAGACACAAAGAATAGACAGCAAGTCAGGATGTCTGATCAAGCTGTCAGTTGATTGATTTTAATTGAGGGTTTTTATATTTATACTTCAGTAACTAAGGCTCAGGGAGGAAAGGAGAAACTGGGGCACAAGCCATGGTCTCAAGACCAATTGTTCTTGAGCAGCCACCGTATCAACAATAGTAATCAACATATCAACGAAAGTGTAGGTTACCAGTAACAGGATGTCGGCAGGTTCAGCATAAATCACATTCTGAAACAGTTGCTAAAAACAATAGAAGCTAAGCATGTGATTAGTTTCATAACCTCTTTCCCAAGCATCTAGCCAACTGGGGTTTTCCACTGGCCCACAGTTCCATATTCAAAATGGCTTCAGTGTGGCTACAGTACATGGCTCCTGACACTCAATGGTGGGGAGCAGTTACAAGTCAGTACCAAGCACAGAGCCTGGCACAACCCTGACTAGGGTAGTAATAGGCATGGAGATGTGACAGAAAGCATGCCAAGAGAAGATGACATTGGGCCAGTGGGTTCAACCGGAGCATGAAAGTCCTTGTTGGATGCCTTGTCAAAGAGACTAGGTACCATAAAGCACTTTAGATTGGTGTGTGATGTGACCAGATGTGGCTTTAAAGCTAGATCATGTCAGAGGCTTACCCAGGGTGGGCTTGGAGAGGGGCAGAAAGGAAACAGCAATACCAAAGCAGAAGACTAGGAAACTGAACTTAGGGAGAAAAAGTCAGGTGCCAGAAACTCTCCAGGAATTGAATCCAACTGGTGACCAGTTGATTGGTTGCAGAAGAAGGCAGTGTAAGATTCCACGGATGTTATCCAGTCACCGAACATTCCATTCTGTTCCAGGCAGCACCAAAGAGGGGGAGGGAAGAGAAGATTCAGTCTTCCCTTAGCAAATACATTTCAAAAACTCCACCCCAGATCCTGGCACCAGAATGTCACTGGGCACCACCTGGGTCAGAGTTGAGGGGTTGGTGACACTTCCCAGTGTGACTTTTCCTGGGGACGTGGGGGAGTCGTTGCAGCTAGCCTGTCATGGAGCAGCTTGGTGGGCTGAGCAGGGAAGCCCCATCTAATTCTCAGGCGCAGTGGTTGATTTGACAGACAGGTGGGACACAGCTTCCTGCTGTGAATTGTCAAATCTGACTGAAGCCTTCCCATCGCATGCTGGCTGAGTTAATTGCCAGAGGAAGAGCTTCCGAGCACATGATGTTTCATGACTTCTAAATGGCGAGTATAGAGATTCACCCCAGATTTTTTTCAAATAGTCCCTGAAAGAGGCCAGTGCAATAGCACAGCAGGCTAATCTTCCACTCTGTGGTACTAGAATCCCATATGGGCACTGGTTCATGTCCTGACTGCTCCAATTTCCCTGCAGATCCCTGCTTGTGGCCTGGGAAGGCAGTGGAGGATGGCCTAAAGCCTTGGGACCCTGTACCCATATAGGAGACCCGGTAGAAGTTCCTGGCTCCTGGCTTCAGATCAGCTCAGCTCCAGCTGCTACAGCCATTTAGGGGAATGAATCAGTGGGTGGAACACCTTGCTACCTCTCCTTCTCTGTAAAAAAAAAAAAAAATTAAGTCCTTGATGTCCATTTCACCTAGACTGTGATTTAGGAGGAAGGCAAGTAGTGAAATGTGAGATTGACTGAATGTTTACTGTGTGCTAGACACTAAGCTAAATGCTGAACTTGTGTAACACTGGCAGCATGCCCCAGAGGGTGGCCAGACACCCCCTCTCACATCCATGTGCAATCTATCTCCAGTTGACGGATGGAGAAATTGAGTTGCAGAGTGATTGTAGTTTACCCGCGGCTACCTCGTTACTTGATGGAGTCAGCATTGGAATCCAGGCACGATGCCACTCTGAACCACCACACTGTCCCGCCTCTAGTCTGTGTTGTCTGCTCCAGGGCGTGAAGCAGGATCGACGCTCCCCAGGAACTGTTTAAACACACCTCTCTTGGGTGGTTTTTATCACCCCACTAATAAGATGCATATTGGCTATTGCTCACAGTTGCCTGATTCGCTGGGGATTTCAGATACCGTGTGGTAAAAAGCCTGCTAACTTCCAAAAAATGAGTTATAAGACAGCCGCTCTGCTCACAGGAGATGTTGGATTAAAGAGTGAAGCAATAGACTCCATTTCATTATTAAGGATCTTACTGCTTCCCATTGATAGTACGTCCCCGTTTTCAGATCTGTGATCCACCCAAGGGTAATGGAGATGAAGTGTGTAAGATTACCTTTCCTCCCCAGGTGCAAAAACACATTCGGAGTTCAAGTGACCTGGTTTTACACCTAAGGCTAAATGAAAGTGGAATTAAGGAGTAAATAAATACCTCTAGGCAGGAGATTATGTAAGATCTGCCTAATATGTACCAGTTAAGAGTTCTTTCCAACTAGCAATAGCCATTGGCTTAAAATTAATGGTTTGACATCTCCAAAAGGAGTTTCTTCTCACATTCTTGTGTTTTTGTTCTTGTTTTCACTCTTGTTTTTCTAGTTTTACTCGTAGACATTCTGAAGCGAGGTGGAATTACAGTGTTCATACAGGCTCTGATTTTGCAGAGGCAGAAGTGATGGAGGCCGGGGTTAACTCACCAGAAGCTACCAGGGGCCCTGTCACCTGCACACTGCTGCCTGACTTCTCTTAGCTCCACTCAGGAGTCAAACTCCTAGGGCAATGACCACAGTCTGTCCCCCTTTGCAGCCGGTACAGGGCTTTGATTATGCCAAGCAGCACCTGGGCCAGCAAGGGGCGGACGAGGAGGTCATTCCTGTGACGCAGGAGACGGTCGTCCTCCCACTGCCCGTGAGAGATGCTCCTCAGGAGAGAGACGTCGCTCAGGACGGGAGCACCATCAAGACGGCCAAGTCCACGGAAACCAGAAAGAGGTAGGCATGCAGCCAACTTCTGCCTCTCCGTGTCAGTGAGAGAAATAATTGATGCAGCCCTCTGGTTAATTCCACTGCTCTCTTTAAAAATTCCCCTTCATGCTTGTTTTGAATACTTGAGAAGGAGAGTAAGGGAGACGATGAGAATGCCAATAGCTGCTTCACAGGAGCCACCTTTTGTAAGCTTTTGTCTCTGATCTATCACCACAACAGGGGTTCAGCTCTTACATTTATTGTAACACATTTGGCACTGTTGCCATGCTTATATTCTTCCTATAAAAGAAGTGCTTTTGATTTGGTCTGATTGAATTGATCTGGCAGTTTCTTCAGAGAGTTTCTGATTTCAGGCAAAAATCATTTTATTGGATTTTCACTGTGAACAGAGCACATAGACAGGCATTAGGAGTAATGACAAAAGGATATGTAAGGTTGATTCCAGACCCCAGGACCTTGGGACACAAGGGTGAGATAATATGATGTGTGCAGCTTCCAGGGGAGTCAGAGCCAAGTGCTGGGGAGGAAAGAAGAGTGACTTGTGACCATGCAAAGCATCAGAAGTGTGTGGGGGAGGCTGTGTCTTCTCTGAGCCTTACAGGGTGAGTAGGATCTGAGCAGGTGGGATCAACTCCAGGCATGTCATCTACGTGGGGATGCAAAGAGGGGCAGGCCTGTTTTCTTACTGATGCTGACGCTGAAGTTGAGAGTTCCTAATGGATGGGGCAGAGAGAAGGGTAAACTGGAAGATGGATTAAAACTGTGGAGGGTCTTGACTGCCAGGCCAAGGTGCCTGACTTTTATCCTCTGGGTCGTGGTAAACCACTGAAGGTTCCTTTGGAAGACAGTGATGCCCAGCCTATATTTTAAGAGGACAGTTATATTGGCAGTGTGGATGAAAGTCAGGTTAGGGGCCAAGAGACTGATGCTAAGCACTTTGTAACAGCCTCACGATGGGTAAAGAACCCCACAGCAGGTCCTGTTGGCTGCTAAGCCAGCACACTCATTCCCATTTCCCTCTCCCTTGCCTACTAGCACTGTAGAGGTTGGAGGAGTTTCATTCTCCTTGCCTGCCTCTCACCCGCCCCCCCAATACAGATGAGTTGCTCTTTATCAACCTCTAGGGACACAGCAGCAAACAGGACACTTTCTGCTCCTGTGGAGCTTCTAATCAGGTAGGGAGAAACAGTTAAAGTCTGTCCATTTCTAAGTCAGGTGGCAATGTATACAAAGAAAAGAAACCAAACAAAAGAAGGGGATAGAGAGATGGCAAGGGGCGTGTAGTACTTTTTTTTTAAGATGGGAACCAGAGAGACCTATTTGATAAAGGAATATTCGAGAAAGACCTGATTGAAATGAGGTATAAGCCATGTGACTGTCTATGGGATGAATGTTCCAAGCAGATGAAACAGTATGTGCAGAAACCCAGAGGAGGAAGCTTGTTGGTGTGCTGAAGAAACAAGGAGGCCAACATGAATTGGTGGCAGGTGAGCCAGGGAAGTTGCCTGAGGTTGGTCTTATCAGGTTTTATAGACCAAAGATAGGACTTGGCATTTTATTGGGAATAAAGATTGGAAATCACTGGAAGGTTTTGAGAAGAGCAAGGATGTGATGTGATTTGTGTATGTAAAAGCATAACGTTACCACTATGTGGGAAATGGGTGGTGGGTTTGCAGAAGAGAAGCAACAAGACCCACAGGATGCTATCGCTGTGGTCCACGGTCAGTGGTGTGAGAGTGTGAGAGTGTGAGAGGTGCTGGCTGGGTGCTAGAGGGGTTCCAAAGGAAGAACTGACATAATTTGCTGACAGGTTGTTGCCGGTTTCTGGAACAGAGGAGACAATTAGAGAAGTTTTAGGGAGTGATCAGGAGTTTGAATGTGAATGTGCTACGCCTGAGATGTGCATGAGCTATGTGATGGGAGATGCTGTGTACTCATTACCTTAGGAGCCTGGAGACCGTACAATGATTGCTTCATAAATGCTTTTATCCAGTAAGTGGACACACACACAAACACATACACACCCTACCTCATGCTTTGGTTCTGATCAGAAGTTTCTGAGTAAATGACTCCACAGAAAAGGAAACTTGTAGACTGATGCACAGAATAAAGCAGAGTGAGGTTTTCTCTGTGGAAATCTGCTCATTGGCACCTTCCTCAGAACAAGAGGAACAGCCAGAAAACTGGGAATTAAAAAGGAAAAAGGTCTAAAAATGCTGCAAAAGCCATTATGCATTTTAGGGATGCAAATTGAGTTACAAAAAGCCATTCCCTTCCTCTCCCATCCCTTTTTTTCCATTTTGAACCTAAATAAAAGCCCTTTTTAGTCCTAATAAAGCCAGTTGGGAAAGCAGGTACCATTAACCACGAGATTCTGAAATCAGTCCAAGAGCATATGTCCTTTCTGTGTAGGTGTCTTGTGCACCCAGCACTCAGCAATCAAATAGCTGTTGGGTAAATAAATAATGTGTATTAAATACACTAATGCCTGTTGCTTTAAACCATATCATTTCTATCACTGCTTTTATAGGATGTTTAAAAGTCTTGTGGTTAAAGAGATTTGTGGCCAACTCTATTAGGAGATGCTAAATGAAGTAAACCTAAATGAGTCTCTTTATGATCAATCTGGTCAGATCTTTTTAGAATGCTAATGTTTGCTAAGACTCTCCAAAGAGGAACACGGTGCGTGTGCCCCAGCCTTGCTCTTGTCTGTGGGACTTGGACAAGGAGCCTTCCCCTGGCTGTAATGGTCCATGGAAGCCTCTTGGTCCATATCCCCACTGTCCTTGTTCAGGAGTGAGAAGGAGCAGGAAGAGGCGCCTCCACTTAAGTCACCACGTATCTACTGGTCAAGTGTGTTATTTTAGTCAGCTTCCATCAGAGGAGCTGCATGTCCTTCTCTTCTATGCTCAGACAACTGACAATAGAAGGATTAGAGGCCCCACTTTGGTGCCTCCTGATTGTCTTCTGCAGAAGAGGCAATTGGCTGTTGCATTTAGTACATCTCATGTGGATACCACCAGAGGCTTGCGGGGGAAGGGCAGGTGCAGCTCTCCAGAGTACAGCTCTCACAAAATTCTAGAAGACAAGAATCCAGCCCCAAGGAAGGCAAAGAGGCTTTGAAGCTACCCTCCTTCAGGGTTCACCATAGCAAGAGAGAAAAGCAGAGGTCTAATGGTGTGTCAGCCAGGCAATCCTGGCTTCCCCAATGACCTGCCACTTCCCAGCTCCTTCCATGAGCTTTCCAGTCCTCCCCTGCTGAACAGGGCTGGCACTCTCCAGTATGTGGGCTGCAGGACTCACTGATGAATGGCTTTGAAAGCACTCAGCCTGACATGGTCCTCAGGACATAGTGGGTACTCCTGCTGGGAGCTCTCAGAAGATATGAAATGGTGTCCTTGGTGTCTGTAGACATCTGAACCTTGCGCAGTGCCCAGAGTAAATAAATAGCTCAACCAGGTTGTTTCAAACTACAAATGGTTAGTAATGACAGTGGATGCAAGTGTGTGTGTGCACACGCATGCGTGTGTGTGTGACACAGTGAAGACCCCAGCAATAGAGTAACTCAGTTTTCAGTAGTCAGGGTCTGTGTCACAAAGAGAATGGCCAGAGGGAACTGTGTTCCACATGTGTGGCTGAAGGTGCCTGTGGAATTCAAACACAATGATAGTAATCCACGTGCTGTGTGTTGAGAAGAGGGCATGCCACCACAGACTGCCGCTGGGTGGTGGTGGGGAAACAGACATGAGGGGATGCACTGACTTGACTGTCTGCAGAGGAGGAGTGGCACTGGTGAATTGCACTTGGCTACATGCAACTGCTTAACCGTGCGGGAGAGTGGGTGGTTTGGTTTCTTTCTTCTGTGTCATTCTTCTTTGTCAACAGGACTGGAACGAAAGGCTAGAGACAAGCTGTGCAAATAAAATAACCTTGAGAGGAAGCTGCTCCAGCCCAAACTTACCAGCTCCCCTTGTTGCTATGGTTACCTTCCAGCAGGTCGCCCAGTGAGAATGGCTCTGTTGCCAGCAACGAATCAGGGAAGGCCAGCTCAGGGAGACGCTCACCCCAGAATGTCATGGCCCAGCAGAAAGTGACAAAGGAGGAGGCGAGGAAGAGAAATGGTGAGAAACTTTCCCACCCTGCCCCACCCCGAACCCTCCCGCGCATGCGTTCACACCCACACACCTAGGTTTGCTGACCCCAGGGCAGGTGTTGGCTGCACACCTTGGGTCATCACCTGACCCCTTTCTCTGCTTTTGCCCACCCGTGCTTGGAGAATCTTTCTTTAGAAAAACCTTTGACAGAACAAATCAGTGTTTGCTTAGTGATTTTTCTAATTCCTGGGTGAACCCATGGGGTTCCCAGCACTGCCTCCACGCAGGCAGCAGGCCTCTTGGATGTGGCTTGGCTTGGAGGTTTCCCTCATTTTCTTACCCTGACCCCACCCCCATAATCACACCCACATCATAAGGCTCAGTCAGTCCATGCCTCTGACTCCTGGTGTTGCACCTCTTCCAGAAAAAAAAAAGTCATTATTAAAAATTATTATTAAAACAAATTAGTTATGCTTTCCGCTCACTTCTCTAGAATGTGGCTTCTCTTTCAGATCTCTGCCCTCCTTTGTAGAGGTGGAGGTTTGGGTTTGTCTCTCTGTTGTCTTGGCTCTCTTATTGTGCTGTACTTTTCACCTGTTGGGCTGCACCAGGCCATGCTCCCTATTCTTGATCCCCGCTTCCTGTCCACCCACATCTCCATGCAGTCACAGTCCCTACTGTGTGTGACGCTGGATCCCTGGAGCTCAGAATTCACGTAGCCATGCAGCTTTGATTTCTAATGAAGGGAGAATTCCTTCTAGATTTCAAAGGGCTGTCACTGGAGCCAGACAGAAAAGCCAGGTGGAAAGAGAGCAATCTGGTGCTGTGGTGAACCGTGCTTCCCTTTTACGGGGGCTTGATGTGGTGTAGTCCAGGGACTGTCTCTGGAAGCTAATACCAGAATGCTCTTGTTTTCAGATGCCACTTACATCTTTTTTTTTCCTCTGACCACACACACACACAAAGAAGGAAAACAAAGGAATCATGACACATGGATTTGTTTCTTCTGGGAAAATGTCCCTGGTGGCATCTCCAGCTATTATATAACTCACTTGTTTCAACTGTCATACCCACCCAGACCCTGACTGTTTTCCCTCCCCTAGGTTCAGCTAGCCCTGGAACACAGTGCCTATACAGTTCATACTAGTGTGAGGGCATTACAGGTGGGATTATCCTGGATGCTCTCTGTACCTGTGGCCATGGGAAATCCTCCCACCAGCTCTGTGCCAAACAAGCGCACAACCCATCCTGGGAACTCTGGAACTTGGGATAGAGTACTGGGATTTGGCCACTTTCCTCTCTTTGCCAGGGCAAGGTGCTGAGAAACATGGGCAGGGGAAGCTGGGTTATGGCAGACACAGTGGACACCCACACCATGAGGGAAGATTGTTTTCACTAAGTGCAGTTCTGCCTCCCACACCACAGGGCTCTGCACCCTCAGGGTTAAGCAGCCCTCTGCACTGAACATGGACAGACTTCATGGATTCATTTTCTTTTTTATCTGAAAGGCAGAGGGACAGAGAGCTTCCATCTGCTGGTTCGTTCCCAAATGCCCACAACAGGCAGGCTGAGCCAGGAGCCTAGGGGCTCAGTCTGAGTCCCACACATGAATGGCAAGGACCCACGTACTTGAGCTGTCACCTGCCATCTCCTAGCAGGTGTGGGGACAGGAAGCTGGAGCAGAAGCAGAGCAGCCAAGTCTGGAACCAGGCACTTTGTTACTAGATGTGAGCATCTAAGTAGTATCTTAAGCATTGCCACAAGCCCTACTCCATGCAGACTTCTTTTTTCCCTTGTTATGATTCCCTAAACAATACAGTGTAAGCAACTATATAGTCTGAGCATTCTAGAGATGATTTAAAGCATATGGGATGATATGCTTAGATTACATATGAGCACTGTCATTTTGTATAAGGTACTTGGGCATCCACAAATTTTGTTATCTGAAGGGGTCTGGAGCCCTCATGGATACTTGGGATACACACAAGCTCCCAGGGCATCACTTTAAGCAAAATGGCACCTGTACACTGTCCCACCTCTGCCTCCCCCTCACTGTCTATCCCACCCCACCCCACCCCCAGTTCCTTTCCTTCCTTTATGTTCTTCCTGAAAATGGATACAGCCAAGTCAAAGACTGCCTACCCTTGCCCATCCCACTCCTCAGATGACCTGAATAACCCAATGTGCGTCTGTCTCTGACCTTTTTGCTGTGCATAGAACAACATACATCTTTGTTTTTGCTGTACTGTTTGGAATCAATGTGCGTATTGTTTCATGTCCTTTAAATTGCTTAATAATCTGACTTATACAAACTCCTCTGTCAGTCAATTGACATTTATAGAATGATACCCTTCCAGCTCCCCTGTACTTGACTCAGAGAAAACCGTAGTGTGTACCGGTTCTGACCTGAGCACTCCCCATCCAGCTGAGGAATCTCTGACCTCCTCTCAGTGTGCCTGCAGACCTTCATGGCCTGGTTTGCCTTCTCTGATGCCTCCTTCTTCTGCTTGGGTCGCTTTGATTATTTAAGTATCAGATTCCAGAGCAGGAGCACACAGGCACATCAATAAGGTGTAATTACTGTCTCAGGTTAAGGTTTTAATCTATTTTATGAAAAAAAAAAAAAATAAAACGAGCATTTCCAGGATTAGAGTGCTTGCTTAGATATATTTTAGATTTTTTTTCCAAACGTGGACTCAGTGGCTTTTCAAGGCTGCTCACGTCTGGTTTACCAGCTTCCCTTCTGTGAGATTGGGTTTGAAATTTTCAAATAGAACCAATTCAAGTCATTGCATGTTAAGTTCACTTGATGGGGAAGCACATTAGAATTCTAAGAGGGGCCATCCATGAAATCTACACTGGTCTTTTTTCACTCAAAGGGCTATGTTTTATCATAATACTAGATGAGAGTTAGCCAATAAAATCAATAGTGTGTTTTATTGGATTGGAAGATGAATGGAAGGAAGGAAGGAGTAGAGGGAGGGAGAGGAGGAAGGAGGGAGAGAATGAAGAAGAGAAAGAAAGGGGAAATAAAGAAGGAAAATAATTTTTAAAAAGATTTATTTTATTTGAAAGGCGGATATACAGAGAGGAGAGACAGAGAGGAAGATATTCCGTCTGATGACTCACTCCCCAAGTGAGCACAACGGCCGATGCTATGCCGATCCGAAGCCAGGAGCCTCTTCCGGGTCTCCCACGCGGGTGCAGGGTCCCAAAGCTTGGGCGTCCTTGACTGCTTTCCTGGGCCATAGGCAGGGAGCTGGATGGGAAGCAGGGCTGCCGGGATTAGAACCGGCACCCATATGGGATCCTGGGCGTGCAAGGCGAGGACCCTAACCACTGCGCCACTGCGCCAGGCCCATAGAAGCAAAATAATTTTAAGGAGAAAGCAAAACAGATATATTTTCGTCACCTTGCCAGCATGCAGAAAGTGAGGTTGTGATCTCTGAGAATAGATGTGATGGTGCTGTTGGCATGGAATAGGAGAATGTTGTCGTTTTATGGCCTCATAGTTTAGAGACCCAAGGTTACAAAGGTTAATTAATAAATGTGAAGATGCTGGGCTGCCATTCTAAAACTTCCTGTTTCCCACCAAGTGCGTCATCTGTTGCTGCTAGCAATCTGTAAGACATGATGTTTTCTACATGTGTATGATGTGGGGTGATGCCTGTCGGAGCGCTCTGGAGGGCCAGTGGTACTGCTTGCGAAGTGTTGTCTTGGAGCTTTCTTGCAAATGTCAGAAACAAGGAGTGCACAGGAAGAGCATTTTCTGTTTCAAATAGGAGGGCTCTCCTCATTTATCTCTCATGGGAAGGAGTGAAATCTCCCTTTCCAGCTTGACTTCCTGCAATTAAGGTTAACAGCACAAATAAGGCACAAGGAGATGTGAGACGGCTGTGTAGGGACAGCCACTGAGATGGCCTGGTAAATTCCAGGGCCCTTCCACGGCTTCACTGTGCTTCTTGACTTTAATTTTCTCCTTTTTTTTTTTTGTAGAAACTGATTATGCATTAAAAATTCGCAAGAACCTGTTGTACTCACACAACATTTCAGTGTGTTCATATTTAATATGTTTCTTCATGTAGTTTTGGTGGTGGGAAGATAACTCTTTCCTCTTAAAAAATACCTAAGGGAAATGTGTGAATATGAATACTTGTATGACTTTTTTTTTTTCGGACAGTGAAGAGGCCAAAGAACTGTGGCTTGTTCAGTCCTATGCTGCTTTCTTCTTATCCTACCTTAGTTATGCTGCTGCTCTTACCCTGTCCACAGAAGTGGGAGATGAATATACTGAACCCAGAAGCAGTGAAATGCTAAGAAACAAGTGTTCACTCAAAGGTTTAGTGACTAGCATGACTTTAAGTTCTAAATGGTTACTTCCTCTGCAGGTACAAAGCACATCTGTTTTACGAAGGAAAGTCAAGTCACTCAGTCATTAATTCCTCAATTGGACAAATCCTTGCTGAGGGCCAACTGCCTGGGAGACACTGTTAAAAAGTAGTAGGCATGAGCCTGTACAAAGATGGGAAGAAGGGAGCTTTCATCATAGTGCAGGCTGAGGGCAGACTGGAAGACAGCCCAGCAATCAGTGGTTATTAAAAGTTAGGAGGAAAACTCAGTAGAGTGGCAAGCAGGCTAGTGCGGGTGGTAGTAAGGGAGTTTTGTTTTCAAGCTGCAGCTTGAAAAAGTAAAGAGAAACTGGGCAGGTAAAGATGTGCAGAGAGGGTGTTCTGAGCAGAGGAGAGAGCTCACACCATATTCCTGGCAGGCTCCAGAAGACCACTGAGTGACCAGGGAGTGAAAGAGGAGAGGGGAGAAGTGAGCTCAGTGAAGCAGCCAGCACCCAGCCCCACCAGTGAGTCTTGAAGGGACACATCTGGATTTACACTGAGAGAGATGATGAAAGCTCCTGAGGGTTCTGATCAGATGGGGGAATGTGATTAAGCTGCCCTGGAAAAAACACCCCCCCACGAGTATAGTAGAGGATGTCTTTTAGGGGTTGGAGGACAAACATAGAAGGTGCTTAAGTTGCTATCACATAACAAATGACCCCAACATCCAACAACCTAAAATAACAATCTCCACTTCTTGCCCCACCTCGTGTCTGTAGAGGTGAGAATTTGGGAGTGACCTAGCTGGAAGATTCTGGTTACCATCTTTCGTTATGTCACTGTCATGATGTTGGCCTAGTCTATAGTCATCTATCAAGTCTTGAGTAAACTTGTAAGTTGGCTCACTCGTGAACTGTGAGCAGAGCTCAGTTCCCTGCCATGTGGGCCTTCGCATGGGGCTGCCTCAGTGTCCTAACATGGCAGCTGAGTGTCCCAGAGGGACTGATCCAACTGACAGCAAGGAGGACCTCAAGATGATTTTCCCTGACCCTACCTTGGAAGTCACGTGATATCATTTCTGCCATTTCCTCTTGTTGACATAGACTAGTCTTTACTCGTTGTGGAGAGGAGTGTCAGGAGAGAGTTCCAGGAGGCAGGTGGCTCTTAGAGCAGTTGTTCAAATGGCAGGGAATGGTGGCCAGGCAGAGGTTACCCAGCAAAGCTACCCTCTGGAAACCTGACTGCATCTGGTACACATCCCAGTAAAGCTTTCTCTGTGTGGATGTCTGGTTGGTAGCCTGCTAGTTGCAAACTAATCCACTGAACTAACATCAACAAAAAATTCAAATTATAGCCCATCGTTAGGCTGCAAGGTTTTGCAAGATACATTGTAAAATAACAATTTACTCAGCTTCATTTGCCAATTCTTCTGTGATTATGATAAGTGACAGAGTGATATAAACTATGCATTCCTCGGTAATCTGAATAACATCTGCACCTCTGAGCAGACAAGAAGAAAGATGAATGCACTCCTATTACATTCCTGTTTTCTGTAACACCTCCTTTGCTCCTGAATTGTCTTGCTGGCTCAGTTGCTTGAACAGGCTTGATTCATCTGTTGGTGATGTGTGCTCAATGAGCTGTCATTTGGATAGTTGCTCAATTGGAATGTGCTTTAGAACAGGTAAGTCAGCAGGACACCAGTGGCCCTGGGACTTCTGCTGTCATTTTACTTATGGGAGCATGGGGCAGGCTGGTATCTTTCGACAGTCACAGCAGAATTGTCTGATGGAGGGGAGAATTATAGTTTACTGGGGCATCGGCAGAAATGGCTCTGTTTAAATAGAGGGGTCGTCTGCAGCTTTAAATTAGTTTCTCGGGTGGTTTTTTTCAGTAGGTTTCTTTTGTCTCAGACAAACGAAAGAAACCCAAGCCCAAATCATTGGAGAGCAGCCTTCAGAACATTAGAAGTCTGAGCAGTGATGACGGTGGCTAGTGGCCCAGGGGAGGCCTGCCACTTTCACATCTTGCATCAGTGACATTTGTGGCAGAAACTGACCTGAAAGCTCTGATTGGGTAGATGGTCAGGTTATTGATGCAAGGTCCGGCCAAATTCATGTTCCTCATTTTTGTCTTAAATGCAGAGAAAGTACAACCAACTTTTAAAAATGTTTTTTTTTTTTCCAAAGGAGCTTGATTGTAGTCTAGAGTGACAGTCAGTGCTTAACTCCAGACCTTCACTGGTCTGTCCTGCCCACGAATGACAGTGCAATGGAGGGCTGAGTGTTGTGGATGTTCAATTGTAAAAGGAAGCCACGAGGGCCTGGCACAATAGCCTAGCAGCTGAAGTCCTCACCTTGCACATCTGGCATCCCATATGAGTGCCAGTTTGTGCCCCAGAGGCCCCACTTTCCATCCAGCTCCTTGCTTCTGGCCTGGGAAAGCAGTTAAGGATAGCCCAAAGCCTTGGGACCCTGTACCTGCATGGGAGACCCAGAAGAATATCCAGGTTTCTGGCTTCAGATCAGCTCAGTTCTGGCCATTGGGACCAATTGGGGAGTGAATCAACGGACAGAAAATCTTCCTCTCTGTTTCTCCTCCTCTCTGAATATGTACTTTACAATGTAAATAAATAAATAAATCTTTACCAAAAAAAAAAAAAAAAGAAAAAGAAAAATGCAGGCATGAGCGGTAGCCAACCTGTTACAAGCAGAACCAGAGGCAGTTGTTCCTGAGTTTGTTTTGAGACACGGGGTGTCCTTGGGCTGGGGGCCTGCACTGATCCTCCCCACATTGTGTCCTCCCCTGTGTTTGTATTGTGCTTCAGTGCCAGCCAGCGATGAAGAAGAGGCAGCGGTTCTTTTCGACAGCTCAGGCAAGGCAGCCGCAGATCCCTTCGATACATCCTCGGGTTCCGTGCAGCTCATTGCGATAAAACCCACAGTGCTGCCCGTGGTGCAGCCGCCCGCTGACAGGAGCCAGGAGTCCACGGCCGTCCTCAATGGGGAGGTGAGTGGCCTGCGAGCCAGACCTCTGGGTGTGTGAACCCAGCAGCTGTACTTGGAGGGCAGCATGCAGACACAGCCATCCAGTGCGTCCCCACCAGCCAGTGGTTGTATAGGTCATTGTTTGCCTCTGCACATGTCCCACACGGGAGAGTGGCCCACCCAGGACAAGTGTGTTGGTGAGATTCCCAGAACACTTCTCTGTCAGAAAGCCCAGAAAGGCTTTTAAGAACTGTGAGTATGAAGGGAAGCATTCAGCCTTCTGCTCACATACATAGCCTACCGTTCTGCTTTAAAGAAAAAATTTAATTATTTGAAAGGCAGAGAGACATACGGAGACAGACATGCAGACCAAGAGCACTTTTGTGTACTGTTTTACTACTCTAAATACCTGCAACAGCCAGGGCTGGGCCAGGCCAAAGCCGGAGTCCTGGGGCTCCACTCAGATCTCTCATGTGAACAGCAGAGACCCATGGACTTGAGCCATCACCTGCTGCCTCCTCCAAGGGTGCACATTAGCAGGAAGCTGGAATCAAGAGCAGAGGTGGGATTCTAGCTCCTTAACTTCACTGTGGGATGCAGGGGGTGGCTTTTTGGCTTTACCACCTTCCCCTTCTTGAGAGTGTCTCTGAACCTCCAATCTGGGAGGGGTTCAAGTTGAGAAGGGATCAGAGATGCTTCTGTCACGTGGACAGGAGCATGGCCCACTGTGTGTGCTGTGAGGGATATGCATTCCTGGGAGCAGGCTTGAAACACCCCACTGGCTGTTTACAGGGAGATGCCAAGATGTCTGTCAACTTTTACAATGTGTGACACATGCTGCCGAGTGATGAAATAGACAGATACGTGTGAGCATGCTCAAGAAGTTCATGGAAAAGGCTTATTATTTTTTAAAAAAAAATTCTGTGCACTGATTTAAAAATGACAAGAGACTGAAGCCCAAGGGGCTGAGTAACTGGTTCAGTGCACACTGCAGGTTGTATGACAGCCATGATGTCTGGGTGCCCTAACTCCCTGGCCAGGGCTGCTTTTTTCCCCCACTGACTAAACTACTACTTATCAGAGAAAAAAAGCATCATGCTTCAAAGAGTGGAGACTTGGAGGCCACACTGTAAGGTTTATAACTCAGCTTTCTATCTGTGTGACCTTCAACAGGTTCATTTGTGCCACAGTCACTCCATCCTTATAACAGGGTTGCTTTGAGGATCAAACTGGTTAATATATGCAAAGTGCTTGCAACAAGGCATAGCACATAGCAACCACTTTCTTAGGATTGTAATGAATCAGTGAGCCAATGAAGAAGGGTTAGTTTTTATACATATTTGATGGCCCTTGGTGACATAATTTGAGAATCACAGTCACTGAAGATTGCCTGGGGCACAGTTCTGCTACCAGACACACCACTGAGTGCTTCAGGGCTTCTGAGCTGGTTGCTGATACCTGCTCTGCCCACCACACCTGGGTCTTTCCATCCCCACTCAATGATGCACATGTCATAGAGACAGATGCCACTGTGGGACAAGTTCAGCGTATGACTCCCTTTCCCCACCTAGCTCCTCGGCCTGTCATGGAAGGATAACAGATGGGCATTCTCCTTGTCCAAAATGGATGCCTACTGTACTCCAGTAGCTGAAACGAAGAGGGCCCTTGCTGGCATGGGAATCGGAAGGCAGCCCTGAACTGTTCTCTGTAATTTACTGCCTTTGTGAAACTTCATACAAATTATTGTGTAACTTTTCCTCTTCTTCAGTTGTGGGTGGCTGGTTTGGATGAACAAAACGTAATCCCAAAGCCAAAAATCTTCCTTTGATGAGTTACAAGAAAGTCTTTGAAGGTTGAATTTATGGTTTTATATTTTTTTTGTAAGATTTCTCTCTCTCTCTTTTTTTTTTTTTTGAAAAGCAGTTACACAGAGAGAAGGAGAGACAGAGAGAAAGAGATCTTCCATCTGCTGGTTCACTCACCCAAATGGGCTGCAACAGCCAGGGCTTACGCAAAGCTGGGAATCAGCTTTCTTCAGGTTTGCCCATGTAGGTACAGGGACCCAAGCACTTGGGCCATGCCCCACTCTTTTCCCAGGCTGTAGGCAGAGAACTGGATCAGAAGTGAAGCAGACAGAACCAGCACCCATAAATAACCCACGATGGCAGCCCCTGAAAGGTGGTAATAAAGAAAGCATAAAACTGGGGCCTGGTATAGTGGTCTAGCAGCTAAAGTCCTTGCCTTGAATGTGCCGGGATTCCATATGGATTCCATATGGACGCCGGTTCTAATCCTGGCAGCCCCACTGCCCATCCAGCTCCCTGTTTGTGGCCTGGGAAAGCAGTTGAGGATAGCCCAAAGCCTTGAGACCCTGCACCCGCGTGGGAAACCTGGAAGAATATCCAGATTCCTGGCTTTAGATTGGTGCAGCACCAGCCATTGTGGTCACTTGGGGAGTGACTCAGTAGACAGATCTTCCTCTCTTTCTTGCCTCCTCTCTGTATATCTGACTTTGCAATAAAAATAAAATAAATCTTTATATATATATAAAAAACCATAGAACAGCCTAGAAAGTTTTGACATGTGAGTGTGACCACCACTTCATTTGCTGCATATTGAGTGGTATTTAGCGTAGTTGTCTGCTTATGGCTTTTGCAGGTCAGAAGGACCCCTAGCCCTGGTTCTTTCTGAAAGACCACACTGGCTTTGTCATGTAGAACCAAGCCTGGTGACTTTACTGGTTGTCAAAACGACTTCTGTGTCACAAGAAGTCCCTAGGTTACAAAACTGTCCCCTCGTGCCTGAGCCCCATGTCTGCCCCCACTTCTACCCCATTCTGCCTAACCCTATTGTTCCAGGAATTCGAGGCCTCCTCTAGAAGAGTCCAGCTAAATGGCTAGGGGGTGCCACTGGGCTCCTCAGGGCCAGCATCCAATCAGGGGAACAGGCACTAACTGTACTGCCGGAACAAAAGCCTCCACAGGAAGCAAAGAGGTGCAGACAGAATGAGCTAGGAGCATGGAGTCTGGCCTGGGCTGCAGCACAGTCAGACTCAGGGGAGAGGTCCCGAGGTGACTTAGGCGAGCACCGGGCTCCACATTGTTTATGGGCTGGTCTCAGAATGGGGCACAGGCAGGTCAGACCAGCTTAGAGGACCAGAGATGCAGCCTCGTGTGGAAGTCATTCACCTATCCACTGGGCCAGGTCAGCTGTGGACCTGAGACTGTCTCTCTTCCCAGGTGAACAAAGCGCTGAAGCAGAAGTCAGACATCGAGCACTATCGGAACAAGCTGCGCCTCAAAGCCAAGAGGAAGGGGTATTACGACTTCCCCCCAGCAGAGGCAAACCAGGCCCTGACCGAAAGGAAGAAGATGTACGAGAAAGCCCCAAAGGAAATCGAGCAGGTTTTGGAAGCAGACCCGGAACTGTGTGTTCCATTTGTGGAGTCTAAAAACAGGTGCAATCTCTAGGGATTTTCTAACCATCACCTTCTCGTGACTGGGGTGGGAGCAGAGGGTGCCAGGGGCAGCACAGTCTCCGGACCTTGTCACAGTTCCCCAGGACTGTGACCTCTGCAGCCTGCTGATGTGGGTCATGCTAGGCTGTGCACACAGGTATTCCATGAGGAGTCTGGAAGAGACTAAAATTGGAGCCATGAATAAACAAATCCTGGACAAATGACCGTCCTTTGGCTTCATGGTATTTCTGGTTCAGAAATACCATGCTGTTTCAGAGCTGGGTACAGATATAATTATCACCAACTCAGTTATGCAACACCCAAATCAAGGGACTTGTGTTTTTTCAGTTATGTTAGTTGCTCTTGCATAAGAAAGGTAAATGCCATGGCTCCCTTTTCATTCATCCTCAGCACACTGCAAGCTGCTCAGAGCTCCAAGCTGCTTCGTCTCTTCTGGCTCATAGACTTGTCCACTTAGTCTGCCTGCTACAGATGATACCTCAGTCAAAATGCTGAAAGCTGTCCTAGTCCTGTAAATGTTATGTCACATTTTAAAGATTTTTTTTTCTATGAAAGAATTATAGAGAGAAAAGACTGAGAAATCTTTTATTCCTGAGTTCACTCCCCAAATGGTCACAAAATCCTGAGCTAGGCCAGTTGATGCCAGGAGCCATGACCTTCTTCCAGATCTCCTATGTGGGTGCAGGGGCCCAAGCACTTGGGCCATCTTCTGCTGCTTTTCTAAGCTCATGAATGAGGAGCTGGATCCAAAGTTGAGCAGCCAGGACTTGGCCTGGTGCCTGTATGGAATATCCATGCTGCATGTGGTGGCTTAGCCTGATATGCCACAGCACCAGCCCTTATTATATTTCTTTCAATCACAGCAGTGTTTTATGGTAGGCAGTCTGGTCTCTGCACTTATCAAACTGAGATCTGAAGGGAAGGAAAGATAATCAACCCCCCCCCCCAAAGTTTGTTCATCACAAGAGCATTTGAAGCATGAGGAACTACAAGAATCTAAAGGTAAGGGGAGAAGGGAAAGGAAGTTTGAATTGGTATCTGTCTCAGCTTGTTTTGCCCTAGAATTATGCCAAGACTGAGTATTTAACAATGAACAGAAATGTATTTTCTCACACTTCTGCAGGCTGGAAATCCCAAAACAAAAGCACCAGCATGTGGCAATGACTGTGTGGCTGCACTGTTACATGGTAGTAGGCAGATGGGCAAAGAGGGCCCAAAGGTGCTGAACTCACCCACTTAGAAATGACACAGATGCCAATCAGGTGCCATTGTCCTCTGAAGGCTCTGCTGTCAACCACTACCACAGTGACTACCAAGTTCCACATGAGTTTTGAGGAGGAAAGAATATTCCAGCCAGAACAGTATCCTTTCAGGCTTTGCGGCTGATCCACCACAAGGCTGTGGCAAGTACATGCCCACAACCTAGGACCCATAGGGTATTTCCTGGCTTTAAACGGTCATCATTTAAAGCAAAAATGGCCCTAACAACCTTGTGCAGTAGTCACAAGAATCAAGCTGAGAAACAGGGCCAAATTTTATTAATTAACTTAACATGGTTTATTTTCAATAACCAAAAGTGGAGATTTGAAGCCATTTCTTAATTGACTATGCTTCCAATTAGTCCTGGTTGATCTGACAAGCTATTGCTGTAAAGTGCCACTGTGGAGGGGTTCACAGTCCCTGTGTCACTGTGTTAACAGCTGCGGCAGAAAAGATATGAGGTTTCTTGGGAGGCTGGTGGCTTCTTTAGCTTTTCCTTTGTACCCTAGGACTTTTTGCTTCAGTGGACTCTTGTAGACTGTGGTGGGAGCTGCTTTTCCTCAGTCTTCTGTTGGCATTCGGGGAAAACGAAGGCCCCATTATGCACAAATGAAAGGAACATCACTTGGAAGTTACTTGAGAAATGAAGTTTTTCAGTTAAGCTTTTTATGGAAAGAGAATGAACAAAGAATGTACAGAATTTGATTCTGGAGAGATGTAGCTCCACTCCCCAAGCATAAATACAGACCAGATTTTTTTTTCATTTATTTGAAAGAAGGAGAGAGAGAGAGAGAGAGAGAGAGAAAGAGAGAGACTGATAGACAAACCTAGAAGTCTTCTAAATGATGGTTCTTGCCCCTAAATTCTCACAACAGCTTGGCTACACCAGGCCTAAGCCAAGTGCCCAAAACTCAATCCGAGCCTCCCATATGGGTGGCAGGGACCCAGGTACTTGAACTGTCACCCGCCTCCTCCCGGGGTGTATGGAAGCAGGAAGCAGGATCAGAAGTTGAGTAGCAATGGCTGGCGTTGTGGTACAAGGGGCAAGCCACCCATGATACTGGCATCCTATTTCAGAGTGCTGTTTCAAGTCCTGACTGCTCTGCTTCCAATCCAGTTCCCTGCTTTAGTGCTTAGGAAAGCAATAGAAGCTAGCCCAAGTACTTGAAACTGCTACCTACATAGGAATCCCAAATGAAGTTCCAGGCTTCTGACTTCAGCCTGGTCCAGCCCCAGCTGTTGGGGAGTAAAGCAGTGAATTAACAAGCTTATTTGCTTTCTCTCTCCACCTTCAAAAAAAAAAAAAAAGTGGAGTAGCCAGGACTTGAACCAAGGCACTGCAATAATACGGGAAGCAGGTGTTCCAAGTAACATCTCAACCATTGCACCAAGCAACAACCCAGGCGAGATTCTTGAGCCCTGCTGGTGCTGAGTGTACATAGTTCATGCTCAGTGGATGTCTGCTGAAGACACGATTCCAAGATGGTGAAGCACCAAAGCTAGTTGTTCTCAGTTCTGACCAGTTGAGGGGACAAGATAGATAGCCACAGACTGGGTGTGCTGGGACTGCAACTGGAGATAGGATTAGTGGGAGGGTGGGGAGGTGGAGAGAAAGACTAGTGGGAAAGGCGGAACAGAACCTCATGGAGCTAGGAGGTGTTATTTTTGGCACGCTCTGCAGGTGGCTGCAGAGGCTTACCTGTTATCACAGATTAGCATGACCTGTTAATTGCAGCTCACACTACAATTCTCCAGAGGCTTCCCTCTCATACAGCAGAGGCATCATTCTATGCCCAGAGGCAGCATCAGGACCCCCCCACCTCTAATGCTACCCTTTGTCCTATATTAACTTGAATAAGACACAAAGTTTATATTCAAAGTGAGTACTCATCTTGTAATTTTTTCTTACGATTTTCATAGCTCTTTGTTAGAATACATACTTTTATAATCTCTTAGCTAAACCCAACTGGCTAATCCTCCACCTTCAAGCACTGGCATCCCATATGGGCACCGGTTCAAGTCTCTCCACATCCCATCCAGCTCCCTGTTTGTGGCCTCGGAAAGCAGTGGAGGATGGCTCAAAGCCATGGGAGGCTGTACCCACATGGGAGACTTGAAAGAGGCTCCTGGCTTCATATCAGCTCAGTTCTGGCTGTTGTGGCCATTTGGGGAGTAAACCAGTGGAGGGAAGATCTCTCTGTCTCTCCTTCTCACTGTTAGTCTGCCTTTCCAATAAAAATAAATAAATCCTTAAGAGAAGAAGAAGAAAGCAGGCAATGAAACAAGCAAGCTGCCCCTCTGCACCTGCACAGACAACAGCTTCTCCCCTGCTCCAAGCTTCCTGGCCTCTCGCTGAGGGCTTTTGTGGAGTGTTGTGTGATCAGTACCACCCCCAACTTCTAGTGTCTGGGTGTGATGATGAGATATTGAAGACCTCTCCCATTCAAGTTCCCTCCCAAGACCCCTCCCTGACTCTGCGCTCAGTTTCTGGGGCTTCAGAAAGACTGACCTGCCAATGCCTTTCCTAAGCACACCAGCCCATCCAGGGCCTGTGCACTGACCACCTGCTGCACATGCTGTCACGGGGCTCTCATCTCTGTGCTGCGGTCCACCTACTCCAAGCACAGGGACCAGGTAACTAGGGACAGCACCTCTGCCTTGGAGCCTGCCTCAGTGAGTCCTACTAGCCCCTGTCTGCCCACAGGAATCTCAGTGAAAGTTTTTGCCCTTGTTTCCTCTCTCTCTCTCTCTCTCTCTCTCTCTCTCTCTCTCTCTCTCTCTCTCTCTCTCTCTCTGCCTCTGGCTGAAAATAAGCCTGCGCTTCCCCAAGGGGCCCCTCTGGCAAGACCTGTCCCTTCTGCCTGTGATCCACACTCCCTCCTAACCCAGGAGTTGTCTTTTCCAATGCAGCCATCTCTGGCGGGATGACCTTGCCAGCCCTGAATAACAGTAAAACCCACACCTCGAAGCCACTGCCTCCCACACTTACACAGTGAGCTTGAATCCCAGTTAGCCAAGCCCTAGCCGGCTCCATGTCCTATTTGGATGGCCACACTTCCCTTCCCCTTCCTGCATCCCTGCTTGACAGCTTAGGAGCCTCTGGACCACAGCTGCATTCACACCTCCTTCTCCTCCTCCTCCTCCAGGCAGTATTCCAGACTATCTCTCTGGAGTCACAGGGCTGCACAGAACATGACTGGAGAACAATTTTGTTCAATTGTTCTGGGATTTAAAAGTCCTTTAAACCCCAAGGGGAAAAGCTTACCATTATCTACTCAGTTTGCAGTGGGAGAAAGCTTCATTGCCTGTTTCAAAATCCATTCACTTTTTTTCTTAAATTGCAGCAAAATACCATCAAGAAAGAAATACCCCCATGGAAGGGTCTCTGTGCAGTTCTAGTGAGTAATTTCTGTGCCCGAGAGCTGCATGTATTCTAACAAAGAGAGCTAAGGAGATGCTCACACACCAGGTGTACACTGCTGGTCTGGTCTGTGGCAGCAGCTCTAAGCTGTGTGCATAGTAGAGCATTGTTGCTGAGAGAAGAGTCCCCTATGTCCGTGCTGGTACCTGAGCTCTTGCCCACACTCCTGGTTCATGAAAGGGCTTACCCCATCTCAACGCCCTACTCTACTGTCCCTCATATTGGCACATCTTTTCTAACTGGGCTAATTGGCAAAGTCAGAAGAGTTGTGAAGAGTATTTAAAAAAAGAAAAAGCATATTTGTAACTGGTTTAAGGATGAGAACTCTTTGGGATCTGCCTTAGAACAGATGCAGTTCTGCAGGCTGGCTGAGGTTGTGTTTCTTCCTAGGGGATGCCTTTCCTTGCAGATAACTGTAGGGTACAGTTTACATATCCGGTTGTAAACACGTTTGTTAGAATGTTTCGGATTGCAATTGATTGAAATGCGGACTTGAACCTTCAGAACATATTCCACATCAGGGACACTGGAATGACATTGGGTGGCTGTTCTCCATCCATGGGTACTGGAGCACTTGGAAGGCAAGGTGTGGCTTCTCCCCTTAACCCCCCACTCCAGATACAGAAGATAAGGAAGGTGTGCAAATAGCGGTCTCACCCACTTTCCCATAGTCCTCAACCCTTCTCACCCTAATTAACTGTGTAAGCACCATCAAAGATATTTAAAAAAAAAAAAAGAAGAAGAAGTGTTGGCCCATCACAGTGGCTCAGTGGCTGAAGTCCTTGCCTTCATGCACTGGGATCCCATATGCACACTTGTTCATATCCCAGCTGCCCCACTTCCCATCCTGCTCCCTGCCTGTGGCCTGGGAAAACAGTAAAGGATGGCCCAAAAGCTTGAGACCCTGCATCTCTGTGGGACCCCGGAAGAAGCTCCTGGCTCCTGGCTTTGGATCAGCTCAGCCCCAGCTATTGTAGCCACTTTGGGAGTAAACCAGCAGTTGGAGGATTTTTCTCTCTCCTCTCTGTATATCTGATTTTCCAATAAAAACAAATAAATATTTTTTTAAAAGATTGAAATGTGGCACGAACTAGTGAGCAAGCATTGTGGGACACACAGATCCAAGGGGTCATCTGGGATCTCCAGGATTTGATCCTACACTCTTCCCTCATGGTGGCAAACCAGCTGCCAGCACCTCAGACTTAGAACCTCTCAGAAACCACAAGGCTTGTGGAATACCTCTCCCCGTTGCCCTAACAGAAGGCTTAAGTTGGAGCTTCACTACCCCACCCAGGCTATGTACCCACCTCCTGACCAATCACAGTGGCTGTGGAGATGTGATACCGTGAAGTGTCCAGCCAGAGACACATGCTACCCATGAAGGGATGGTAGCCATGGTATGGGCACCAGGCAGGCAAAGACAGCAGATGTTCTCTGATTAGGTGCAAAGCTCCTCATGCTCTGATAGCATGTTTTGTTTCCAAGGCTTATTGCAAGGATAATGTGACTGCAATACTGTGGCTAACCTAGTGTGTGTCCAGGAAGCGGTGCGTAGGCCTGGGAGGTTCCTGACTTCCCCCAGTCCCTGCAGATAGCTAAAGCACTCTCATCCTCGACCCATCAGCAGCTAAAATCTCAGAACTGAGACATAAAACAGGGCGCGCTTTGGGAACTCTAAAAAGCAGTGGTGACACACATGAGGTTGCTAGCAGTGGCTAAGTGGGGCCTCAGAATACACTACTCCTTGGACCTGAAATACGCTGAGCCCAAGTCATCATGCCCCTGGCTCCATTTAGAACTAAGCAGAGATGTCACCACCCCCCCAAGAGGCCTCTCTTGACTGTCCTAACTCAAACTCTCTCCCTTTCTAGTTGACCTCTGTTGTAGCGCCTTATTTTTCTGGAGAGCATTGATCCCTCTGAAAAGCCTATCGATTGGCTCGCTCCTTAGGGTGTAAGCTGTGAGAGTGTGGGGGCTGTGTCTGTCTTGTTCATCATCTTCCCCAGTGCCTGGCATATAGTAGTCCCTCAGCGATGGGAGGGAGAGAGGGGGAAGAATGGAGGCAGAGAGCTCTGGATGGACAGGCCCCTGCTAGCCTCTGGGTTATGATCCCTCACCCCAGAAGGGAGTCCACCATGGTGATGGTGGAGAAGAATCCATCAGCAGTCATGATACGAAGCAGCCCACTCGCCGCAGGGTTTAGTAACACATCAGAGGATCGTGTATGTGAAATGAGAAGGCAATGAGGAGCAAGAGTCTGCTGAGTCAGCAGAGCTGACAAAGGCAAGTGTGTTATGCCAGCATTTGTCATCCTAGGGTCAAGAGAGACTCCCTGGGCTGGCCATCAGCAGAGTTTCAGAGGAACTTGCAGTGTTACAATTGATTATAGTTGCCTACTTTCCATGCAAAGAAAAAAAAAAAGAGGAAAAAAAACCACTTAGCATCCAGCCAAATGGTTACAGCATCTTGAGGGGAAAATGTCTTTATTCCATTCCTTCCACAGCCCCTTATGGCTAGGGAACAAAGACCAACAATTCTGAGATTTATGAAACAAATCCAAATCCTTCATTGGTTGCCCGTGGTTTGGATCAGTGGAGAATTCCATCTGTCGGTGTATTTGCTGCAGCATAACAGTGGTTGGATTTTCTTCAGGCAACAGATGAAGAACTCTGTCTACCGAAGCCGGCAATCTCTGAACAGCCCAAGCCCAGGAGAGACCGAGATGGACCTTCTGGTGACCCGCGAGCGACCCCGGCGTGGAATCCGGAACAGCGGCTATGACGTAAGTCACCGAATTGGGGTGAAGACAGCTGTGCTCTCCCTCAAAGCCACAGGGCACGAGCATGTCAGAATGTTTACTGAATGTTTACAGTATTCAGAAATGCACAGAAATGCTTTCTACTTTGTTATGACCGATTTGGCCAAGTAAGACTACTTGGCATGTGTCACGGTGACAGATGATTGCTGAAAGGATTGTGGTTTCCAAATTGTACCATTAACGAATAGTGTGTTGTTGACCGTAAACTCCACAGAGAATGTCATGGTCCTTAATTTTTTTTTTTTCCATTTGTCTCTGGAAACTCAGCAGGAGTCATGACTATGGTTACACTTGAATACAGGCTTCTTTTAATCCATAGAAAATGTTGAAAAGTTAGATTTGTTCCTGATTTCATAACTCCTCGGTATGCCATGGAAACAATGACACATCTAACAGAGTAATTTGGTGATTTCACATGACAAAGCAAATGCATATGTTCAGTGATATTTTCAAGGCGCAAAAATTCTGCTCAGCCCATCAGACTACCCAAGAAGTGAGATTGCAACATGTTGCTTCGCATCCAGTTGTATACATCCTGGGACTTACAACACATCCTTGAACACACATGATACCATGAGTTTGGTTCTAGAATTGTAAATTATCCTGAATGTCTTCCTAGATTGCATGAAAAACATTTCTTTCTTGCTGCCCTAAAATTTTTTCTTAATGACAAATAATTTTTCTGCAATAAGTTGTAAGACAATCACAGCTAGATAGACTTTCACTATAATTTGAGAAGTTATAGCTTAAAAGTGACACTTGATTTCTTAAACAGTTGTGCTAATTTGAAGGCAAGAATGTGTCCCTCTCTCAGGATGGGCCATTATTTGTCACAAAAGCTTTAAATGAGCTTTCAAATGGCTCTATTAAGACAGAGACATTCTACCTAATTGGAATTTCTAATGATCTTCCTTACAATTGAACTTGATGTTTGTGTTGACACTCATCTATATGGTTTTACTTTTACTTTTCCTTAAAATAGTTTGACAGTTTAGTTTTATAAAATTCCAGATGCTCGAGACGAGTCTGGCTTTTTCTACTAGGTTGAAGTACCCAAGGTTAATTTTTCTTCTTATAAAATAAAAGACTTCTTAAGCTAAATACATGAATTTGATAACCAACCTGTGGTTAAAAGTAGACATTTGAAGTTTCCAGTTAATTCTTTATGACCAAGAGGGAACATTCTTCCCAGATGCCTACTTAGTTTGTAAACTTTTTTTCTGCTGCTTAGGCACCTGAACTATGATATATTTCCTAGTCTATTTTGAGATCAATATTAATAGATTTCTTATGAAATTCCAAGCATTCTCTCGTGATTGTGAGGAAGTAAGTCAAAGGTTTCCCTAGTAAACTTACAAGGAGAACATTGAAGATTCTTTAAAAACAAAATAGTGTGATTTATAACACTCATTTTAATATCTTTGGAATGCCATACCACCAAATTATCTAGAACAGTGAAAAGAGAGATATGATTTTTTAAAAGACAGTTCACCCTTCATAGACATGTATAAATATTCCAGAACAGATAACTTTAGAGAAAGTCTGCTTCAATCTAAATGCATGCTTGTAAAAAAATGTGTGTCTCTGAGAAGTTCATGTGATCTCAAAAACATAAATATACTCTTCCTTAAGAGAAAATGACCACCTCAGGAACAGTTTTGAGAATTTAGACTGATTAAAGCGAACGTTGTAGTACTTCAGGGTAAACCACTGTTTAGGATGCCTGCATGTCAAATTGGGGGGCTGATTTGGTCCCCACACTCCTTAACCAGCTTCCTGCTAACGCACCTGCGGAGGGTGGCAGATGATGGTGCATGTAGGAGACACAGATGAAGTTCCTGATTCCTAGCTTCAGCCTGGCCCAGCCCTGGCTAAGGCAGGCATCTGGAGGAGTGAGTCAGTGGATGGATGATCTCTCCAGCCCTCCCCTTTCACTGTCGCTGTCTTTCCCTCTGTCACTTTGCCTTTCAAATTAAAAAAAAGAAGAAGAGAAAAATTTAAATTGGCAACTGTAAGAATGAGATGTTTTACCAGTAACATCTGCCTTGCTGTTGTCAATGCTAAAACATTGAGAGGTAGTTAACTCTTACTGGCTGCATGCTGCAGATTGATCTCTAGCTTAGTCTTTTTTAAATATGTTATCTAATTGAATTTGCTGAGTTACTTCACTGCCATACAATACAGCTTCTATGTTTGCCTCCCCCCCGCCAATACATGTCTGTCCCCATAGAACACACTGTAAGTCGTAAATTTCTGAACCTCTGGAAGAGGCAAGATACCAAGTCTGACAAGGATTCTTACGTAGGTGACTCACACAAGCAAAAAATGGAACCAGCAAATAATCTGGAAAAAGAATGAACAACATATTCATTCTCTGAACTCTTAGTCTTCCAAAAATGCCAAGACACTCTTGGCCAGTGACTCCATTAGCCCAACAGGGAACCAGTCATTCAGTTGGAAATAAATGATTCTTCCCACTGGGTCTGTGGATCTCAAAGCCAAGCCAAAATATCTTATCATTTTTGCCGGATTAGAGAAACTTGAGACCATAGAAATAAAAACACTGAGATATTGATTTAACTTTGAATTTTTCGAAAGTTGTGTGTGTTAGAATTCCAAAGGAAGGACCTGCAGGGAAAAAAATGAGTAAATAAGCAAATTCTATGCCTTGGTCAGAGGGAAATCTGGATTGCCTCAAGAATTCCTCATAAAGCAAGAAGTGTTAGAGAAAGACTCTTAGTGCCACAGGGTTAGAGGTCATTGTGTTTAGCAGTGACAACTGCCAGCCTGTTGGTCACGCTATAAACTAAGAGATATAGCCCACTCTTTTTTTTTTTTTAATTGGGAAGTGAGATATACAGAGAGAATTAGAGACAGAGCAGAAGATCTTCCGTCCATTGATTCACTTCCCAAATGACCACAATGGCCCGAGCTGAGCCAAGCAGAAGCCAGAAGCCCAGAGCCTCTTCTAGGTCTCCCATACAGGTACAGGATCCCAAGGCTTTGGGCCATCTTCAGTTGCCTTCCTAGACCACAAGCAGGGAGCTGGATGGGAAGCAGCGTGGTCAGGATTAAAACTGGCGCCCATATGGGATCCTGGTGTGTCCAAGGCGAGGACTTTAGCCGCTGGGCCCTGTAGCCCACTCTTAACTGTTAATTTTCTAGGTGAATAGACCACTGTTAGAAGAACCCGCTGTTTTGAAAGGATGTGTTCAAATCAATCTCTCCTTAAAATTTTTTTTCATATTTATTTGAAAGGAAGAGAAAGAAATTGCCCATCTGTTGGCTTGCTCCACAAATGGTTGCAATGGCCAGGGCTTGGGCCACATCAAAACCAGGAGCCTGGAGCTTCTCCCAGGATCTCCCATATAGGTGCAGGGACCCTAGCATTTGAGCCATTTCTGCCCCTTTCCCAGGCACTTCAACAGGAAGCTGGATTAGAACTGGAGTAGCCAGGATTTTAACCAGCATGGGATGCCAGCATTGTACACAGCAGTTTAACCCACTACTCCATAGTACCAACCCCAAAACTAAACATTTCTGAAAGGCCAGGCCATAAGTGAGGACTTGAAAACGCATGAGAAGTAGACAGAAGATGAGAGTTTCCCAACAGTTGGGAAACGATTGGGACAACTAGTGTAGAAAAGTATGTAGCAGGGTAAAATGGCTCAATGGCTAAATCCTCACCTTGCATGCACCAGGATCCCATATGGGTAGTTGTTCATATCCTGGCTATTGCACTTCCCATGCAGCTCCCTCCTTGTTGCCTGGGAAAGCAGTCAAGGATAGTCTAAAACCTTGCACCCATGTGGGAAACCCGGAAGAAGCACCTGGCTTTGGCTCAGCTCAGCTCTGGTTATTGTGGCCATTTGGGGAGTAAGCCAGCAGACAGAAGATCTTTTCTCTCTGTCTCTCCTTATTTCCAACAAAAATAAACAAATTCTTTTAAAAAAAAAATAATAATAATAAAGAAAAGTATGTAGCAAAGGGGCTAACAGACCCAGGACTGATATTCTAGTCTCTAGCTGTCAGCTGAAGACCTGGGCACCTTACACTAGGCGTAATGAACCCTCTGGCTGACCATGACATGGGTGTTAGATGATGACCACCGACCGCCCACCCACTGGTGGAATAATATCGGCAAGTTGTTCAGAGTTGTAATGGAAGCTTTATTGGAAAATCTGCTCCTGGGCCCCCTTCGTGCAGAGGGGAAGGAAGAGGGAAGCGAAAAGGGCCTCAGAGATACGTGTGGGGGAGTTTTATACCCCTCTGGACACATGAGCAGGCAAAGGGGCTGTCTGTGCCTCAACTATGTAAGGAATGTCCATTCAGGTGTACCATTGGTCAACTGGAATCCCGCCAGGTCGGTGACGTAACTGGCTCCTGTGGCCCCTCCTGTTCCGGGCCGAAGCATGGGAGACATGCTGGGACCGGAGCAGACCCGCCCCTCGTTCCCAGTGCCCTGGGCGGCCATCAATGGGTTGGCTCCCTTTGTTGCAGGTGCATGATCATTTGCTTGAAGGAGATCAAGGAATTGGAATAGTTGCTTTGATAGCTACTGCAGCAGGTCTCAGACCTTCCAGGAAAATTTGTAATCCTGTCGTGAATGGAGTCTTCCTGCCCACTCCAGCCTCAGCATCTTGGCCTAATATAGATCAAGTCAAAACCAGGCATGCCCAGGCATTGCAAGGTGGAGGAGCTCCTGTTGAAGGCACAACCAGATCTTGGCTTCAAATGCTTGTATTTGGGGATTTTGTCCTTCTTCTTCTGAAAGCAACATCCCTGTTGCTCTCTGAGCTGGGAGATGCTTTGGGCTTGAGCCAGTCACCATTGCCACCCTTAGCCTCCCATCTAGAACTTTCTTACCCAGATCCCCATTCAGCCTTTAGTGTTTTTCTCCTCTGACTTAAGGTAACACATTTACAGTGTGTTATATTTCAATGGAGGCTTTTTAACCAACGAAG